ATTAAGATGTCTACGGACTTCAGCTTAAATTACTTTGAATAGAGCTAATAACAATGAGATAGCTAACATCTAATGAAGTGAATAGAATTCTACCAACAAACTATTCGACAGCGTTTGAGCAATTCGATGAATAATAAATTCTAAAGGAACAAAAATCCCTCGAGTTCCTTGAGGACTGACCTCGTAGAAAATACCAATTTACTTATTATTTGCCTAAAGTTGTGAGAACTAAAAGTACCTCGGTTTATTCTAAATCATTCCTATCTGAATTATGAACACTTAATCCCTTACAAAATCTTACTTGAATAAGCATCATCCATCCTAATATAAATTAGTTCCGATTCATGTGACACTGAGTAAACTTTGGTCTTGTCAATTCGGTAACTCGATATCGTGTATTTAAATACAGTCTGCACGACTGTTTAAAGTACTATACATCAACTCATGTGTATTCAGTAACTTAAGTATACATCTATGATTGCATAGAAAGTTGTATAAAGTGCAGTCTTACATAAAGTCGTGACCAGTAGAGTGCAGCAGGTCGGGTGTGAGGACAAATACTCGCCGAAGACATTGGCTAGCAGTTGCGCTTGTCGTGAATTGACAGAAGTTAGAATTCATGGGCCATTAGATCGGGTACCAGTGGCTTAATGGTAAAGGAGCTCGCTAGCCTTGTAACCAGAAGGTCCTGGGTTCTAGCTTTGGCGGTGGTTGCGTACTGATGAATAGTCCCAAACTAGTTTGATGAAACAGCTGTCCAGTACTCCCTAGCAGGTTTCCGGTGGTTCTCTAATTGATGTCAGCTCATGATGAAGTCCTGTAACCAACACTTGACTAAACACAAATCTTGGAAGTATTACTTAACGCATATAACAAATTGTTTCCAGACTAGGCAAATCCCGTCTTTGTGCTAGTACAAAGTCATATGTATTTCCCAATCTTTTATTTTTATTTCATTAAGCACTTTGATGAAGATATTATTCATGTGAATTAGCGTTAACACTTAATTTTGGTATATAAAAATCTGTAGCCGAAGTGTTTGATCAACTATAACAGTGAGGATATTAGGTCAGAAGCTGGTGACAATGATCAGGAAAGCATTGTAAACCGATGCAAATGTGCAGTGGCTATTACTTCCAAGCTCCCCACACAGTGAAATTTAATTTATTTTCTCGGGTTAGCTGGAACTGAAAGGCGTTATGAAGCCCGAGGGACAACTGTTTGAGGGCGGTTACATACAAATACACACACGCGTGGTCCGTTTGAAGTGATTTTCAGAGTTTTGTCTGTATTAAAATCCTACCGCTGACTATACATCACTGTAAATTAAGTCAGTATGTACAAATTTCAGAGCTGACCTTTTCTAACGCTACTCCCTCCCCAGAGGGAAGAAGCGTTATAGCTGGCTTACTGGTAATCTGAGAAAAACACATTTTTACGGTTGAATTCCTATCCGCCGCCAGTGGTACAACTTTGACCACTGATCCCCCAAAATAGTGTAAACGAATTCCACTATGCTGGTAACAGCCTTTAGTATAACCACTATCAAGACAATCTTGCTGACATCTCAGAACTTGAATGAACATTAATTTCAGCCTACATGATCTCAACGGTTAGCTCACTGAATCATTTGAAGTGTGTGAGACAAAGCTGCCTACTATCATCGACGATATTCTTGACTGTGGTGGAACAGATCATGCGAAAGTCAGCAGGAAGTGAGAAGACGGCCTTAGAAGATCTAAATTTTGTTGGTGATTTATGTCGCATGTCAAACAAACTCAAAGATACACAGAAGAAAACCAGCAATCTGACTGAAGTGAACTTCAGCCAAAAATACAAAAGACAGGAAGAAAACACTAATTTACGATAGTAACAGCTTCTAGCATAACCATTATCAAAATAGCCTTTCTGACATCTCAAAACGTGAATTTCAGCCTGTGTAGGATCGTATGGGTCAAAGCGATATGCAAGCCGGCCTATCGCGTTACAGTAGAAGCTATTGGTAGAGTAGATCAGTAGCGACTCAACTGATTTTAAGGCATATTGACCCACTAAAAAGACAAGAAAATGTTTAGTCCTGGTGAGATTTAGGGTCCCGAAGCTGTTAGGTAACTGTACAGGAATACAATGGTCATGAAAGTTATCGATTTGATGCTTCACACCGATAATGAATACATATCGCTTAAAGGTATTTCAAATTATAAAGAAACACCTTTACGGGGAGGGGAGGGATGCTCTGCACATTTAACATTTCAGTTCACAACTGAAATGATCCAATGTTGTAACAATACCTAAAATAAGATATAAGTTTAAAACTTGGGCACTGTGGTAGAGTATAACTCCATTATGAATAGGATTTTATTCTGATAAGTCACACATTAATACTAACTGATGACGTTTCGAGTACAAATTATTGCCACTCATAATCATATCAAGTTACCCACACAACTTTTTGCTTCATTTATATACTACATGTGTGGAATTGACTAGATATTTAAATAAAAATAAGACGAGTGCTTTTTAAGTCATAATAAGTAACTTGTTAGAATGTTGTGATGTGCTTGAATTGAAATAGAATTTGTACATTATTTATTATCCTCTTCTGATTTGACTGGTGGTAAAAATATCTTCCATATTTCTGGTATTTACATTGAGTCATTTCTGTGGCATATGTTGGGTGTAGACTCAATGAACCAGGTTTCAAAAATCAACCTCTCTCTCCACCTAAATATGTAACAACAGAAGACAAGGGCCAGGCAACAGATCGTTTTATTACGAAAATCAACACGTATTTATATATATTTTATGTACATTAATACGGCTTATGCAAGTAGAAAAAGCGCAGTCATCTGATTGGTTGTTTATCAGAAGTTAAGCAGACAAACGCAGGCTTCTGATTGGTTGTTTCGGGATTCCTTGAAAAATAGAGCTCTCTATCTGCGAATCATATTCTGCCACGTTAAGTCTGCTGTGATTGGTTATCGAATCAGCCTTGTACATATTTTCTCACGGCCTGCTCTCACCACAAATAGACTACTTCTTAGAATCTTAATCCTCTCCCATCCTATTGTGTGGTTTCGTGTTAATACATGTAGTGCAGTTGCTAAGCTTTTTTCTAAATTAATCATCTTCTCGGGGTCAACCATTCTTACCTTAGCTAAATTCTTATGTTCTGATGATTTGACTACCTCTAACCTACTAGTTTGACCTATGTAGTTGACCTAACTCACAGTCATTGCAGGGTATTTTGTAAATTACATTACAACGTACCGGGTCCTTTAACGTACAGAGCCTGTCTTACCTGAGTGAGTTTGTAGGTTTGAATGCCACCCTAATTCCTGCTTTATTAAGAATCCAACGTCAGGAGGGTTTCAGATGTCCCCTGTTGCCTTATATGGTATAACAGTGGATGACTTATATTCCCTCTTATTTATGTTATCACTACTAGTTTCACAATTATTTGTATTTTGATTAGATAACAAATTATCACCTGAAAACTCTTTTTTTATCATTCTCTACTTTGTTAACAGAGACAACAAACTATAATTCACTGTGTAAAATATATTTTCAATTAGCAAAAAAGAAAAGAAAACGAAGTACAAGTGAGAGAAAAATAAAGTAAAAGAAAGAGAAAAAAAACAAATGAAATAACCCATGAAAACAAATTTTACAGGATTCTAAACTAAACCTAGTCAGCCATCGATCCACTAAAATACTGAGGACCAAATGTCATTATTACATATATATATATATATATATATATAAACTTTATCCTACAAAAAGAGTATGCATATATAATACTGACTGACTTATTAATCAGTTCACTAGAAAATAATCTGATTCAGGGGAGGTGGATGGTGGTGGGAAGAAGAAATGAAGGTTATTCAATTACAGACAGGGGGAGTGTATGCAACATGCATACATGTGCTGCAAATATGCGTCCCCACGAGCATGGGTATTTGTATATATATATATATATATATATATATATATATATATATATTTGTATACGAATAAAAATCACTTATACATACATGTGAATGAGTGAGTGAGTAGGAGTAATAGGACGAGTGGAAAGATATACAAACTAAAAAATTACATGAAGATAAGTAGATACAGGTTATTAAAGGAGCATGAAAAGAAAAATTAACTTCTTGATACTTGACAGTACCAATAATTATTCATGATATAGAGATGAAGCTGTAGACAACGCAGGATAGAACCTTCAAAAAAATGTTGCCTGTATTGATGTTATGAAACAAAGGTGGGCGGGGGAGAAAAGCAGGAAATGTTAATTACATCCGTTTTAACAAATGCAACCACACACACACACACCCAAACAAACAAAGAAAAGGATAAAACAAGAAACCTTTAAGAGTACAAAAAAAGAAAGCTAAGTTGATTTGACTACATATGAAGAGAAATACTTAAATATTAGGCTAAACTTGTATAATGTTCCTTTATTAAATAAAATGATAAATCAGAAATAAGATCACATAAAAAATATTACCTAATTATAAAGAGAGTTAGTCTGTTTGTCAGAAAGAAACATACGGAGGATGTGGAGGAGGAGAGTTAGAGAGGGAGGAGTCTCCAGGCAATAAGAGAGATATCCCGAGAACAACAACAACAACAGCGTATACACTCGCATATACAAGCATTAAAGAACACATTTGAACAATACGTCGACACCTAGTCATTCCCCCAACCCTCGCCATCCACCTCACCATCATTAAATAAACATGATTGTAACATGTGTCACATAAAACCAAAATATAAATGAAGAATAACAATTGTAATAATAAAAAACAAAAAAACAAAACAACAAATAAAATATGCTTAAATATTTGATAGAAAATAAAACAAAGTAACAACTATACAGAATTTATATTATGTATATGTATTACATATGCCTGTAAGCTCATATGCGTGTGAAGTGAACAAGAAGGCGGAAAATGAACAAATTCCCCCACCTCCTCTCAAACTGACCCCAGGAGGTTTTAATTCTGTCTGCTGCATAAATCCTCTAGACTACATCGAAGTTTTTGAGCTAACCGACTAGTTGATGAAACTGCCTTTAGAATTTCTTGTAAATTTGTTGATGAGGATAACAATGGGATACCCGTACCACCAGCATTACCAGCAGGTGTTGGTGTTCCACAACGATTTGAATAATGTTCTCTCTATTCAGGAAAAATAAGAATATATTATTATACATATATATATAAAACATTGTAATCTTATTTTGATTAAAACCTTACTGGCACGGTTACGCCAAGATTATATGGACTACCAAAAGTGCATAAAATCAGTTTGCCACTTCGACCAGTGTTGGACATGTGTAATTCCTCATGTCACGCAACAGCGAAATGGCTAGTGAAGCTCCTGAAGCCTCTGCATAATGAAGTGGTAAAACATAGCGTAAACGGCAGTTTTGAATTTGTTGAAAAAATAAGAGATCTTAATGTGAGGGACAAGTTTATGATATCTTTTGATGTATCCTCCTTGTTCACCAATGTACCGTTGATGGAGACAGTGGATTTTATATGTGAAGAGATTACTACACGAAACATAGATATCGGGATTTCTGTAACCACCTTGAAGGAACTTATTTTAAGATGTACAATGAATGTTCATTTCTTATTCAATAAGGAATATTACAGACAAATTGATGGTGTGGCTATGGTTTCCCCATTAGGTCCAATCCTAGCTGATTTTTTCCTCGCTAAATTAGAGAATGGACCACTGAAAGGAGTAATTAATGACATGGATTTCTATTGTCGATATATGGATGATACATTTGTGGTTATGAAAGATGAGAATGATGCAATGAACATCCTTGACAAGTTTAATGATGCACATTCAGAGATAAACTTTACCATAGAGAAAGAAAGTAATGACAGTATCTCATTCCTAGACGTCTTCATGGTAAGGAGAGAAGATGGCACACTAAGAAGAAGTGTGTATAGGAAGCCTACAACAACAGGTCAGTACACTCATTTTTTGAGTTTTGTACCTTTGAAATATAAACGTAACCTCGTGAAGTGTCTGGCTCATAGAGCTAGGTTAATCTGTTCAGACGACTGCCTCAATGAGGAGCTTAAGATTATTAGAGAATTGCTTAGAAAAAATGGCTATCCAGATAAATTCATTGAGAAAAATATAAATTCAGCTCCAAGGAGAGTCAGTATGGCCACAGTCCCGAAAAAACCAATGTTCATAAAATTGCAGTTCCTCGGTGACAACATCAGCGAATTAATAACACAGCGCCTGAAGAATGCAGTTAAAAGAACTTATTATGCAGCAGAGGTACGTTGTCTCTTTACAACCACACCTATTTTATGTTCGAGAAATAAGGATAAACTACCTAAATTCGCCTCCTCTATGTGTATCTACCAGTTTGACTGCAGCCGCGGAGCCAGCTACATTGGGCGTACAATTAGGCAAGTTCATCGTCGTATTTCCGAACATCATCCAACGTGGTTAAGGGACAAAAAAAATCTTTTCGTAGCTCTATTTTAGCCCACCTCGTTGATAGCGACCATAAGATTGATGTTAATATAGCATTTAAAATTATTTATCGCATTCCAACTTATCTTAATTTTGCTTTGCGAGTTCGTCTTCTACAGACGGCTGAGGCGATTGGCATTCATCTGAAGAAGCCAAGCCTATGTGAACAGAAAAAATTTGTACAGCCACTTTCCCTACCGTGGCCATCGTCACAAGAATGGATAAACAGGACTGCGTCACCCCCCTCCCCCTAAACCTATAAAATTATATTTGTCTAAATTATTTATTTTATTTTATTTATTTTGACCACTTCATCTTTAATTTACGTGTTATTCTTGTAAAATTAATTTATTCTATCCATTTCCACCTTTTAAATCTGTATTGATTTTCTTCGTTAACTATTAACCCATTGACACTGTTTAATTATTGTTAACAAACTTATCGCCACTTGATTGGCAAACTGTTGTATTGTAATTAAAATGCTATGCGTATATATTAGAGTAGAGCCAAAGATGAGGATCTAATTGAAAAGTAAATATTTCTTCGCTCAATCTTTCTGTTTTCTAAATGTCTAAATGGGGATTTTTTCTTTATTGAAAACTAATAACTAGTATGACGTATCTAGTCCTTTCTTTGGTACAGACTGAATTCTATCAGTCAATGTGGCCACCAATCTAAGTAGCTCACCATCACGGTGCACATTGATTTGAGGATATATTAGATAGTCGGAGGCGATCGGCCACAGGAAGCCTTGGACCTAGGTTTCGTGCTAGTTGACACTCGCCAGTCAACAAGGCGTATCTGCAACCTTGAAGGAACTCATGTCCTTTCTGAGATTCGAACCTGCATCACCCAGTGCTAGCCACATTGCAAACCTGACTGATAGAATTCAGTCTGCACCAAAGATAGGACTAGATATGTCACACTAGTTACTAGTGTTCAATCAAAATACCCACTACAGTCCTACAACGCCTTGCTGATGAGTGCCAACTAGCACGAAACCTAGGCTCAAGGCTACCTGCGGACTGCCTCTAACTATCTAATACATTGTAATCTAGTGACTAAAATAAACAATGAATGTAACAAGAAACATTTCACGTGTGTAGAAGCTGCTATCAAACAGTTGGTATGGTAACCTAAATACATGATGAAGAATATTGTGTGTGTATGTGTGCAACCTGAAAGCCACATATAACATTTTGGATAGGACGTTCACCGGCATAGGATGCGAAGTAAACACACGTAGCCTGGGGTTTGATTTTCAGCCGACCTACTCCTCAACCTCATTCAGTCGTTATTGTAAGTTCAAGAAAAAGAGGAGCCTGAACATGAGGCTATGTTACACTGGGAATACAAATGAATAAACTATTATTAACTTGAAAGCAACAGTTTACTATCTTCAGCTGGGGAAGGTACACACTTCGTACACAGCGTATTGCATAATAGTTAAACCATATGACTGAATGCAAGCGTATATATTATTACAGCATGAAACATCTCAACAACAGAGGGGAGAAAATCATTACTTCTTTCACTACACATAATAATTTTGTTGATAATGTAGGCGTGAGAGATGTCCATAAAAGGATATATAGCTATCTCTGTATGATTTATTACCAGGCAGAACTTAATCACCAATATCAATTTACTTTAGAATGAAACAGTCTTTTCTTCTGATCAAAAATCACTTTGAAAAACACATCAACTATGTTTATCATGTTTTATTATTGAGCACGTGCGTCGGTGGCACAGCGGTGGAATGCTTGCCTACCACACATTTAGTCCACGGTTCGATCCCTGGCCACACACGCACTCCTTTACCTCGCTAAGCCAGTAATAAGATTGGCAAAGAGGGAAGGTTGGCTAGACATGAGGCTAGCAACCCCATCCGCTTCAAGCCCTAGCTTGAAGCCCTATGTTCCACTGGAAGCGTGAAAGAATAAAAAAATTGTTGAGCACGTTATTTTAATGGCTGTTGTTTCCATTTCGCATTCCCTATTCACTTTCGTAACTAAAACTGAGGCACACACACGCATAGATGAGGAATTTCACACATCCAAACAATTTCTCTGGTGAACGTGCCTCTTTCTTCATTACCAGTTACTTCCCTTCACTGTAAAGAAAACCAGTTTCAGAAATTCAAACAACTACTACTAATGGCACTGTAACAGTAGAAGACAGGAAAACTGGAGCAAGGAATGTTTATTTGCAATTTGATATCTTTATATAGACAAATTATGTACACCAGCACATCCGAAAAATGGTCATTTGTACAGATATTCTGTGTTGTGCTACTTCGGTCTTCCTTCGTATTGTGTTTCTTTGACTTCTTTGCGTGTCTCCCATGTTTTGCCGTAACACTGGTTCATTTGCTGTCTTCAACGTTAAATCTATCACACCGTAGTTTAATATTTTTTATGTTGATGACCGTCTCGTTATATACTACTGGTAAATCTTGTCAGTAGTACACACCACACCATACTACAGTGGGTGCATAATAAACTGTAAATTGAAGGTTTATCCTACCAGCAGGTACAGTTATTTTGTGACAGGATTTAGACAGAATGGAAGAAACTTAATAAGCCTAGAATCGATTTACTAAGGTTAGTCTGAATGCCAATCCGAGAGAGGAAATTGCCGTACCAACACTTAAAATACGACTAAAATAATCACTATTAGTAAATTCATATGAAAAAAAATGGAATGGAATAGAGCAAAACTGTTTAAGGAACCAACTAGGATGCCAGTTGAAAGACAAATATTTATAATATACATTTCCTTAAATGGCAATATCACCTTCAGAGAAACCGCCAAAATACCATGCAATGAATAACTTTCAAATAAGCTTGCAATGCAATTATTCACATGCATAAATTGATCGATATCTATTTTCATTAGCAAAAAAAGCAGTGGAAAATACGTACTGTCAACTTACAGAATTCAAATGATGATTATCATTGACTCGGTTGTTCTGTTTACGACAACATGACTTTTCACCAGATGTTGTCCCTGAACCACTGTCTTCAGAAGAATTTGTATTAGGATTTTGATGATTACTCTGATTCATCATCATGAGGTGAGAATACTTTCGATGAGTCAATGATTTCGAATGAGATCGTTTGTTAACATGAGTACTAAAAAACAAAAGAAACTGTATAGCATGAATGCGAATCTATAAGGCTTTTCTGCTTGAAAGATATTCTCTAATTAAAGGCGTGCACATATAGATAAAAAAACGAAAATTTGGCATCAACGAGATAAATCTAGGAGAAAAGAGACGACGAAATAACAACAAAAATTTAGGCCAATTTAGCTATTGCGCTATGTATATCATATCGGTGATTAGAGAGTAACTAATGTCATATTGTGGTGAGAGCTGGTTAGGAACAAGCCAAAATTGTAGACAGCAGTTCACGTCAATGTTACGTACCGAATCGGGGTCATTAAAAAAAAACAATAACAGCGCCTAACCTTGAGGAACTCACCGACCAATCACAGAAGACTTAACGTATGCAAATACGATTCGTAGATATATAGCTTAACTTTCTAAGAAACAGTAACAAGCAGTGCAGAATAACTTTCAGCATAAAAACTACCAATTAGCAGACGTTGCTTCCCTGATAACAAAAACGCTAATCATAATGTACATAAAATTCTATAAATATCTCTTGATTTTCTCAACAAACTATGTATAGTTTGGCCCTTGTCTTTTGTCGCTACGATATGGTTTGCCTTTATTGCTGACACAGTCCTAATAGTCAAGCTTGTAGTGAAATCACGAAGGTAGGAGATTGAGCAGCATGGTGAACTTTCAGTGGGTGTTAAGTGGCTAGACGTCAACAGCGTAGAAACCGAGAATTTCTCTCACTCCCTCTCTCTCTCTCTCTATGTATATATATATATATATTAAGGAATGATAAGAGAGGGGTTGAAAATATAAATAAGGGGTGGTGCAGAAGTAATCAGTTGGTTATACCGTAACAGGCCGAGGGAAGGATAATGGCTGTAAGAACATCTTTTAAATGCATAGTTTAGGTTTAATAGTTCGAATGCCTATTGCCTCAGCTGTGCGCAGTAGACGAATACGAAGTCTGTTGGAAAGATTCACTCGGATGACGCGATCGGCATTCGAACTACTACACCTACAATATGCATTCAAAAGAGGTTCGTACAGCCATTATCCGTCCTCTGTTAGCCTATTAAAACATGATGACTTCTCCACCACCCCTTACTTATATTTTCAACCCCTCTCTTATCATGCCTTCATCTTAACACATCTTCATCAAAAAAGTATTTCATTTACTTCCCTTACAATCTAGCATTACGTAATCGGTTTATATATATATATATATATATATATATATATATATATATATATATATATATATATATCAAGGCCGGGAAATGCTAATGGTCAATCGGTAGTGAGCATCAGATTAATTTTCAAGTATTGGTCTTGTAGGGACTTTGTTTGATTTGATGGAGGACTTCATCAGCTGCCCAGTACTCCCAGATTTTCCAATGGTTCTCTAACTGATATCCCACCTTGTTTATCTTATACATAACATCATAAATTTCATATGAATAACATAAACAACATAGAACAAAGATGAAATAAAAAAAACTGTTAGTGCATACAGTGATCCGAATCGTGCAGTATAATCCATTCGTCCAGGTTCATGATAATGTGTAGATGGATTAACTGTAGAATTTGTATTAAAATTTCTACAAACATTTTCATTTTCAAATAAGCTATAATAAAAGGAACAAAGGTAGAAGAATTGAATTGAACCCACTGTATGTATATAGCAAATTTACATATACTGTACTTGTTGTAAATGTAGTAATGCAGCGTGCAAGATTTATACAAACAATTTGAGGCACTAAGAAGTATACAGAGAAAATATAATTAGCTAGAGATTAGTATTACTATCTCCATGCTGCTTAGATATAAAAAAAACGGAGATTACTACTTTGAAAACCCCTTTAACGACATGCACAATAATGTCAGGCGAACACTTTTCGATTTGATGAAAATTGTATTTGAAATACAGACAATTAAGAGTGATGATACTCTCTTGAATAAGCGACATCGCGACCGATAGCTTCTTCCATGACGTAATAGTCCAGTGAGCATTTCTCAATGACCTAAAGAGCTACACTGGCTAGAACTGATGTTTATGAAGGTCCTACCATGCAGAAAAAGATTATTTGGGTAGTGGTTTGACTAAATGCTGTTACCATCACAGTGTAGGCCGTTTTCACAACGTTGGTCGCATCTGTAGGTGAACAGAGATATAACAACTAACTATAAGGCGTTTCTCTCGGATGGCTAACAAGTCAGGTGGACTCTCCTTCTACTCTGGGAGAAGTGAGAAGTGTGAGTAACGACAGACTCCAGAAATGGTGCATCTGCGGGCAGTGGTAAGATCTTAATTCGAATACAACTCCAAAATCCAATTCTAAAAGGGCCGTGTTTGACGTTACATGAAGCAATTGTTCTCTGGGCTCTATGGTCACACAACACTAATGCGACTTCTACTTCAGATACTCCAAGGAGAAGTCAATTTCAAGTATGTAGATAGCTAGGATGTAATAACCACACACACTTCGATAAGCGCCTAAAGCTCTCGTGATAATCACAAGTGACTGTATGAACAATAATTACGGAACAATATTTCTCTTCTCAGGGAACTTTATTGTGTAAAGTGGTTTCCAGATAAGTTGGTCAAGCCGTGATGTACGATACCATCATGCTAAATGAAACGGCTGTCCTTTTTGCATTCCGGACTATGAGACAAACTCAACGTATCAACTTACGATACTAATCAATCTTCCAGTTGAAACTAGGAGGTCGACGATTACAACGAAGGGCCTATTTGGTGGGAAAAAACTGTCCAAAATAGCCAGCTAAGACCCATCTTACCACATCTATCTTTAAAAACGAGTATCCTTCTAAACGCATGTTTACTGCTTTCGGTGTTGCAGAAGACTTACGTAAATCCTGAAGCCGCTAAGACAAGCAAGAAACAATTATTTCCTGTATATGGAATCTATTCCATCAAAATGTCTATCTATATTTAAGAATATAAAATACTTGTGCTGACTATTACTTCAACAGAATAACTCATGGAAGCGACCTTATTATACTATTAATTACGCTGTCTACGCAAAAAATATGTACACAGCCAACAAATTTCACATTTACATTTTAAGCTACTATATATACTCTTTTCAGTAGTCTATTTGATTAGTCTAAATTTAATGGCGAAATGCTGGCCAGCTGGACGGACTCAATTCCCCCAGTCAACACATGCTCCAACACTATGTCTCATTTGCTAGCCGCTAGGAAAAGATAAGAATTTGGGCGTTAGGCAAACAACTCCACTACATAAAAACAACACAGACGCTACAGAACCTGAAAATAAGCTCGAATTGCCATGCTCCACTCGCGAAGCTGAGTGAAGAACAAAAATTATTCCGTATGTAAGACACATAATCGAGTGGCACAACCAAATTATAAACTCAGCGCTTTGGCTTAAACAGATAAACTTTCATGATGCAGAATTGTATAGCAATTTTCAATTAGGCAAAATAGACAATTCATTCCTACACACACTTAAGTGGGAGGGAGGGAGGGAGGTAGAATCAATGATCACAGAGCAGAAATTATATATACGTCAACAATATATACACCGGAAAATATGATTCACATAAAACATCAAACAGTTAATTATATATTCGTCATATGAATATACCTTGAATAAAATCATATAAGTTGAGAGGGGGGTGTACTGCGAGAAAGGTAGATATGTAATCATTCATCGGGCATAATAGCAATTAAGTAAGTGAATAATAATTCCAGGGATAAGTATAATTCCGACAGACAGTAAACATATTTATACTGGGAAATCAAAACAGCGAACAACTGACATAATAAAAAGAGGCGATCAACATGAACATGCAATCATTTTCATCACATATACATGTAGCACACAAACAAGCAAGCAGAAAACATAAAAAAGGCAAAAAAAACATGGGATAAAAGCAAATTTCTTTTAAACAGCCAAGCAAGCACAACATGCACACAGAAAAAAAATTCAAAACAAAAGAATGAACATCAAGAACATCAAGCAACATCAAATAAACAAAATAAAACAGCTGACAAATTAAAAGAAAACAGAACAGCAAGTTTTCTTTATTTATTAGCTAAATAATACAGAGGGGGAGGGACATGATGACGAGAGGGAAGGCGAGGGTAAGCAACGCATATACATACAGACAACTCTACTTACTTTGATGAAGGTGATTGTATAAAAGATATATCACAGGGATGTGTAGCTCTTAAAGGACGTGCTCGAGATTCTTTTCTTCTAATTTATGTATATAATATACATAACAAATTATAGTGAAATTTATAAAGAAATTGTGAGAGAACAACAATGAAACAAGAAGTATAACTTATTAATGTGAAAAAAAGGGCAAGGCGAACTGATAAGGTGTTCTAATATTTCAGTGTTGTGAGACAACAAAAACAAACAGAATAAATTGTGCATAAGTGTGTCATTTACCTTCACATTGACAAGTTTTCTTTTCAACAGCCTACACTTTGTTAAAATATCTTCAAAATAAAATGGCTTTAAATCATGACGACGCTTAGAGTCAAGCGCTTTTTCATGACTTGGTGGTTCAATGGTTCGAATGTCCATCAAAAACAACCACGTGGTCCAGATTCCATTCCCCCCCCTATCCACACGCACTCCTAAACTTCGCCTAGCCGATAGTAAGTCTGAGGAAGAGGGAGGCTTGGGAATCAGACCAGTGCACCTCAATCTTATGACAAACACCATCGTCACTGAAACTTAAAAGCTAAAAGCCCTATTTACCTTTCGCAACGCGAAATGGAAAAAATCTCAACAATATATACACTTTTCCTCTTACATATAAGCACGGTTACAACTCGTAGTGACTTCATATTGAAGTCATGACTGAAGCGGTAAACTAGAAAGATAACGTAAGCTTTTCAATTGAGTCATTCAGTTCACAGACCACAAACACATTGATATCATCCAATAAAGCCGTAAATTCTCCCCGTCATTTCCAAGTAGTTACAGGTATTTCAAGTTAGATCAAGAACTGACATCAGGACGTACTGGATAGCTACCTCACCGTAGTTTGAGACTCCTCATCAGTACGCACCCATCAGGGTTTAAACCAATCACCATTCAGTCGTCAAAATCCGATCCAGTGTCCAATGAACTCTAGCTCTTGCCGATTTACGATTTTAGACCGACCTCCAGCAAATGTAATCGATGAATATTTATCCTCACGAAAGTTACAGTTATTATTAAACCAACGTCATATTTTAGACTTGTTACTAAGATGCACATTCAACGTAGATTTCACATTCAACAACAATATCATTATACAAATACATGAAATTGAAATGAAACCTCTTGTAGACATGCTTGTAAAGGATTGTTTCATATCCTGTCTGAAGATCGGCATCTTAAAGACAATAATAGGCTAATTTCGGCTGTATCGTAAGTATATTAGTGGGACTTTGACAATCTGTGGATGTAATCACTCGGAAAATACACGTCTTTATTGAGCTTAGTGTCTTCTTTCTGAAAAAGACTCGAACACGAGACAATATAATTTCTGGTATAAAGACATCCTCTACTATGTGGTGTTAATATATCGAACTCAATGGCTAATACTGGAAAGAGTAGATATATCTACTTGATATAAGAGTTGTTCGAATGAATATCAATCTCAAGATCAGAAATCCATAATTATGGCGTTTTATCACAGATTTAACACAATCAGGCGTCCCATTCGAAATAAGATTCTACCTATACACAATTGAGAAATTTTCACAGTGCGAAAAAGTATGTGATAAACACTGAAAAAACCAAGCTATACTACACAATCTACTGATTACAACATTAAGTAGTAAATTGTGCAAATGAAAAAAGAACTGTGAAGTGTGTCGTACTACGGGAGAAAACGGTGGCATTAAAGTGGACAAAAATAGAACATAACCAAAAAACATAACCAGTTTACAAATGTGTACGCATACCATATACCGTACACCGTAACTGAATACTGTGCACTAATCTGCATAAATCTTGGAGTATTAAGTGCGATATGCGACAAACAATTAAAGAGTAAGGATTCCAGTAGACATTAGAGCCGAGACCTTAGAACAATTCGATGGGTTCCACAGACTATGTTCTTCTGGAAACATCAAAAGCTGATCACTAGACCGATTAACTTTATGACAGAAGTTGCTCAACCCACGCAAATAGATAAGTCTTCAATATGATAGTACACAGAGTCAGCATGACAATGTTTAATTAGCAAACACCATTCAAGGAACTTATGTTCCGGAAGTGTCAGAGATGTAGAAAATGCACACAAGTAACATTATGAGGTCTATGAGCGCAAAAACTACCAAAAGACCCACACACACACATACACATGAGTAAAAATATAAGACAAGCTTACCTGGCTGAGGATAGGGTTTTACGATACAACGGACTTAGCCCAATATTTGGACGAATAAGTGGAGGTTCAATGAACCGACTATTTGGAAGATTTCCCCCACCGCCCAATATTTGTCCACTGCCACCGCATGCACCACATGTCATTGGTTTTGGACTGGTAACAACACAATTGTTACTTAAATTCGTGGGTATCCTAGGCGAGCATACACCACCATCATGACATTGTTCAGATGCTACAGTTTGATGAACAGGATGGGAATAAAGAATTCTTTCTGTAGACGGGTAGAAATATACAGATGGTTGAATTGGAACTGATGGTCTCCTGTGAATACTTTCAAAAGCAGTATATATACGCGATGATTGTTGTCTTACTAATGGATAGGAAGGATAGTAAACAGATTCACCTGATGCTTCAGGATTACCGACAACAGGTACTGATCCGCCAAATGTATTCATTAGATTATGTACAGGCTTAGAATTAGGCGTACTGTTAACATGAGCGGTCTGATTTAAGGGGACCGCATTCAAATGATTTAACGAGCCATAATTATCTTGAATATTTGTTACACTACGAAGTGGGATACGATGTGATACAGGCTTGCAAAGACTTGATGACCGATGAGAATTCCTCTGTTGTTTGAATCTATCATCTCGTAAGATTGATTTTAGAACAGGAGAATCTGGCAGTGGATCACGATATGCTCGGGACACGGGAAGTGAAGGTCTATTCTTCACTTTATATCTTGAAGTACGGTGTAAATCAGAATTATCATCAAGGGAGGTTGAACATTCACCTGATGAAGAATGTGATGCTAGTGTAGGTGAGTCGTCTGAGGAGTAATCACTGCTGACTGATGATGATGAACTACTGCTGTCACGTGATCGGTTGTTCAACTGATAGGTGGAATAGTATTTAGTTGAACGACCAATACCATTATCTAAAAAATAGGAATGAAAACTCTTATTAACATACTAATAAAGAAAATAACTATAGAATGCTAATAGTAGTATGTACAACGTTTTTCGAAGTACAAAAACATTGACCTCAATTAGATTATCTATAGAAAATCGTCATGGTAGTGAATAGAAATGACAGTATCGTTTTTTTTATTAGAAGAAAATGCACCCCTAGAAAAGTAAGGATATCAATGGAGTTTATAGGTGGACACAGAGAAAAATTATGCAGTAAAACTGGTCATTCATTTTCTTTCTTAATATTCTTAGGATACACAGGTAACCAACAATCAACCAAGAAGGCCCGAATAGCTCAGTGGTAACACCCCTGACTGCAGCACTCTTTCACAAGGATTCGAATCTCAGAGGGAACATGAGTTCCTTCAAGTATTCAGATACACCTATCTGACGAGTGCCAACAACAAGCATGAAACACCTAGGTCAACCAATGCTTCCTGTCAAGAATTCATAGTGCACCGTGATGTCAAACCACCTGGTATGATAGTCACACTGCAATTATGACTAACAGAATTCAGTCTGAAGAAAGAAAAGGCAGAAGTTGAAATTCATGGGTTGGCCATTGATTCAGGTCTCAGTGGTTTAATGATCTACAGGCTTGCTAGCCTTGTAACCAGAAGGTCCTGGGGTTAGCACTTTGGAGGCTATGCACTGACGAAGAGTACAAAACTAGGCTGACGAAACAGATTTCCAGGACTCCCATGTAGTTTTCCAATGGTTTTCTAACCGATGTCAGCTCGTGATCAAATGCTTCAACCAAAAGGACTAGACGCATGAATTTAGTTAGTATCCATCCAAAGAATCAAGAACCTCTAGCTTGTATAACTGTACAACGATGAAAGTAATGAGTCGCGCAAAAGCAGAAATAAATTATATTAATCGGGGATGGTAATTACCGATGATATTCTTGATTGTGGTGGACTGGATTATGCGTCAGACTATTGAGGGCGAAGAGTCAGGAATACGCAGGACCACCGATGAGAAGACTCTAGAAGATATGGATTTCGCAGATGATAAATGTCTGATTTCACACAAACTCGAAGACTTACAGATGGAAACCAACAAACTGGCTGAAGAGGCAGCGAAAACAGGACTGCAGGTGAACACAGAGAAAAAACAGAGGTGATGAAGATAACCAATCAACAGCAGCAACGGGAGAGATTTAACAGCGGTTACCTCCTTTACTTATCTGGGAAGCATCGTTTCAACTTCAGGCGGAATGGATGAAGATGTCAAAGCCAGACAGAATCGGAAAGGGAAAATACGCCTTCATTAGTCTGAAATCAGTTTGAAAATCTTCCACACTCAACATAAGGAACAAGATTCGCATTTTCAACACCAATGTCAAGTCGGTTCTTCTATACGGGTCAGAAACTTGGCCAGCGTGTCATGAAAAGGATTTCCAACAGGCTAATGCAGACTTTTATCAACAACTGTCTGCCTCTGCCGGCATCATACTGCAGATCAAATGGCCAGCCAGAAAGAATTAGCAGCAAGAAGTGCTGGCTGGGAACAAACCAACAAGGAAGAGCCGATGGCTCAATAAATATGTAGGAGAAACAGGAGATGGGTCGGGCATACATTGAGGAGACCGTCGAACGACATCGCACGCCAGACCCTCGAGTGGGATCCAAGTGGGAAGCGACGAGTGGGTCGTCAGAGTGAGGGTGACATGGAGGAGATCTTTTGAGGAAGAGATGGGAAAGTTTGATCAGTTGTGTATCCAGCTGAAGAGGTGGAAAACAGAACAAAGTGGAGATGTGTTGTTGGGGCCATATGTTTCACTCGAAACGCAAGGGAATAGTAATAATAATAATGATAATGGTAATAATAAAAATAATAAAATGGGGGATGGGGGGAGGAGTTTGGCAAATCAGGTTTCCTTCCGTAAGACTATGAAATTCACAGAAATATAAACAAATAATTCAGAACTAAATCGTCAAATCTATCCTAAAGTACCACTAAATACGTATTTCTCTTGGGATAAAAAAACAATCTCTATTATTTTCATTCACACAAACTAGACTCAAAGGAAGAAATGGTTATGCTATATATAGATATTTGTCACAAACAACATCCGTTTTTCAGTGTTACTATCTTAATACTACTAATGGACACTGTTAAAAATAACAATGCTTACATAAAATAAAGTAATGAGCTGAATTGTAACGAAAAGGAGTGGTAAAAAATGACGTAATCACAAGTAAATATCTACACATAACAATTCACTGAGAATAATACACTTTATAGAAGAATATTGAAATGTTCTAATTTTAGAAAAAGAAAAACCACTGTTTTTAAGGAGCAATTGAATACAATACAATTGGAGGGTAAACAGTCTCAACAGTAAAGATTGACAATCTAAACTGGTTTACATAAACAAAAACAAACTTTTCAAAACAATCACTACTTGGTTAACTTGAAGTAATTTGATGAATGGTGACTATCAGTGGATAGAATCTACAATGCGCATTTCGTCCTATTCGGGACTCGTCAACTGGATGCACCTGTTTTTCCCTTCCGCCCCCCCCCAGTGAGTGATGATTTTCCTACAGGGATTCGAACTCAGTACCCATCGTTTCAACCAATGGGGAAACCAAAATTGAATTAGGAAACAAGTAGTAATTGACACCCGCTGCACAAGAGATGGCTCCCATGGCCCAAGTAGTCTAGTGGATAACGACTTGGTGTTTGAAACGATAAGTGCTATGTTCAAGCCTCAGTGAGGGAACACCATCACTCACTGACTGGGAACTGCAGGCGAGTCCGGTGACGAGTCCTAAATGGGACGAAATGCACGTCCTGGATTTTACTGCCAGTCACCATCCACCACAATTACTTTAATTTAAATCCTCAGACAATGTCGAAGCATCTGCACAAAGAGCCGACACGTCAACCAGAAGCCGAACATTGTGGTTCCATCAATCAATGGGAAAATCAAAACTGAATTAAAAACAAATAGTTACTTTTCATTATTTGTGTTACAGTGGTTAAGAGACTAAGGCCATGTAAGTGCACTGAGCCACAGTCCACTCTGTTCTCCTCTAGGTCTGTGTGTGTGAGTGTCTCCGACATCTAGGGTATGTAAAGATCAAAGTTTGTTATCTAATCTAAGACGCCTTCGTTAAACTTTGTTCACATTGAGTGGACCCATATAAAAAGAGTAATTTTAAGATTAAATGTACACAGTTACGTAAAAAAAGCAAATCGATCAATAAAGTTGTCGATTCTCATTCGTTTTGAAATGGTTGCTATATTTATTATACATTTCAAGCAACTAATTTGCTTTATGAGTAATGCCAGATGAGGTTTGTGTGTGTGTGTGTGTGTAAGGTTAGAAAACAGTTAGGGATAGTAAGACCAGGAGATATCATTAATTTATGAAGCCTTTAACTGTTTCGTTTAATTTGCATACAAGAGCTTGTTTTAATTATAAGGATGAATAGCTGAAAACGCTTAGTGATATAGTTGAAAATAATTCACAACAGTACAGATATGTTCAATATGATTCTCTATTCTATACCCATCATATCATATAGTCTGTCAGGTAAGTCCTGTTCACTACCTTCAGACAAGCGGCGAGTGTCCCTCACAAAAGTAAAAGGCCGAATGCGAACCGGACTGGTGAACATGTAGCTCTCTAAGTAGGAGAGCTGGGAAACCTCGGTTCCAAACATATATGGTGTACTTGAGCTCCAGAGTCTGAAATGATCAAATCGTGTATAAACCTGCCGCCTTGTTCACCAGAAACCATGAGAACACAGTTCCTAACGCTACTCTCTCCACTGCCTTGTGCATCAGGTTTCACGTTAAAGATTCACAGGTGGCCCCTCATAACAACCAACCACGTATATTCAAAATCTGGATGTCTCGGCTGTATACAATCCCTCGAACAAACTATGCGATGTGCATGTTGGATGGCTTGGTGATGCATAGTCACATGATGTCTGCTTTCTTTTGCCAGTCTGATGCATTTTGCTATATATCTATGAATCGTTATTCCACTATAACTTGTCTGCCCATTAACTAAATAAAGAATGTTTGACCTTTGTCACATGACATTACAACCAATCAGAATCCAGTGGTGGTAAAAAAAACTGCTGTCTGTCTCATTGGTTCATGTGTGTGTTAGTTATTTCCTATATACTCTTGTGCTGTACAGATTATTCACACTTTTCGTACTCTTTAGTACCTGTCCACTCACACTCTTGTGTGACAGTTAATTTTTGCTTGTTGGAAAATACACGCATCTTCGTAAACGTGGTGGTCTTCTGAATTCCCTCTTCGCGTCAAGACAAATTAACCACTAGTGTGGTCAGGGTTGGCTGCTAGCCAAAATTGGTAGACAGTAATTCACGTTCAGAATATTGGTCATGAGAAAAATAAGAACAAAGAGTGATTCAACGACCAATCACAGCACACTTTGCGTAGGCGGATATAATTTGCAGATAGATAATCTGAACTTCAAGAAACAGCCACAAAGAGATGAAAGATTAACGTTCAACGAGAAACCAACAATCAGAAGTCTGCGTCTGTTTGCTTATAATAATCTATAATAATGTACATGAAAATCTATAAATATCTGTTGATTTCCTAAATGAACGATCTGTTGCCTGGCCGTTGTCTTCTGTCGCTACACTAGCTCTGCCACTCCGTACGTCATCGTCCGTCCGTCCGGCCGGCATGTTTACACTCGATCACACCATAACAATTGGTGACCATAATGTACGAGGTTTGAGCTTGAATAATATTAATAATAATGATAATACCCATAATGCCACGACTAGTTCTTTCCTTTTTAATAAGCACAATTGCGAAATAGAACACTAAAAGTATCCAACTTAATAGAAATGTAAACACTATGAAAAATAACAACAAAAATAACACTAAAAAGAATGTACCACAAACAAACAAAAAACCATCTGAATGCATACCAGCTGCCTTATTGAATTGTGAATGACGACGATGATGACGGTCAGTTGGTCTTGAATAACTTAAATCTCTTTTATTTGCAGAATACTGAGATACTTTACAAGCACCATTGGATGAACCATGAACTGTCGACTGATTCGATTTCAGCGTCATGTATTGTTTTCCAGTATTTTGTGGATTAGAAGTAGATGATGAATAACTGGTATCATTTTGTTGCGTGCATATTAATCTAAAAAAGAGTAATATAAATACGTAATATAATGGAAATCACAGGTAATCTACAGTAATCAGTTAATAATTCCCATTGTAGCAGCATTAAGGACACAATATTCAGCGAAGAGACAGACTCTTTTCAACGAATTTATTACCAACCTGTACAACAGTATATATGTAAGATGCTGCTACAGGACTGGACCCCGTCAACCCCTAACTTAGTGGTAGGGAGTGAAGTGATAGAACATGTTGACCACTTCACCTACTTGGGAAGTTGTATTAGCACCAACGGGCTGATTGGCGATGAAATCTCAGCACGGGTCCGAAAAGCTCGAGCTGCTTTCGCTGACTTACACCATCTCTGGCGTAGGTATGATATCCGGCTATCAGCCAAGGGACGTGTGTACTGCTCAGCAGTTCGCTCCGTCCTTCTCTATGGCTCTGAAACATGGCCAATACGAGTTGAAGACATGAAAAGGTTGACTGCTTTCGATCATAGATGTCTGCGATCTCTGTCTCACGTTAGGTGGTTTCACAAGATAAGTAATGTTGACGTTAGGCGTAGTGTTGGGCAAAGAGGGAAAATCAATCGACGAGGCTATAAAGTTACATAGACTAAGATGGCTAGGTCACGTGCTGCGCATGCCTAACCACCGCCTCCCCCGACGGGCTTTGCTAGCTGATATAGGTTCAGGTTGGAAAAGAGCCAGTGGTGTCCAAACGAAAACATGGCCTCATCAATCCATGAAATCCTTGACAGTTAAACTGAGTCAGGTAGGGAAATGCAGACTCCCGGGTTGGGGCCCTCGGGACTCTAGGAATCAATGGCTGGAGACAATAGGTGACATGGCTCAAAATCGTTGTCAATGGCCAGCGCAGATGTATTCAGTCTCTGTAATCTTTCATATTCCTTTCTACCATTACGCATTCTGTTTCACTCTTATATTTGTCAAACTCTATTGATTCTCTTCACTCATCTTCTTGTCTACCTTGTGTGCCAATTGGAACGTGGCAACTCGAACTGCTGCACTTCGGTGCCAAGTTCTATGTTGAACCCAGACAGACATATGGTTTTATAAAGAAATTATATCCGGTGAGGGAATTAGATTAAAACTGTGAATACATGAAATAATAATAGTAATAGCATGAAATGTAATTAAACTATTTGTGATTACAATCACAGTTAAATGTCAAGTAGCAAAACAATTAATGTCATATGTAGAATAATACATAAGGTGTATAGTAGACGAATATAAAACGCGTTACACAACATAGTGTGAAGCTTGATAAGACAGAATTCAATATTGTAAAAATAAAAAATAACACTTTGGATTTAGAATGGAAAGTGGGACAAGCGGAAACAATTCAGAGTGAGAATAGTAATAATAATAATAGTCGTAGTAATGTGAGTAAGGTACATAGAATAACTAAATAAACAAAATAAATAAACGTCTATCTTTCTACGGCCAAGGCAGAAGTAGGGATTGGACATACTTCTTTTGTAAAAAAAAAGGTCTGACTTCGAGTCATGAATTAACAAGACCTCAGCTGTCTTTAGAAGTCTGTAACGAAGAATATGCTGCAAGTTAGCATGGATTCTATATATTATCTTAAAATCATGGTCAGGGTTGGTAGAGTTCTAAGAGTCAATCAGATATCATTCATGACTTTAAGCCAGACCTTTGTTTACAAAAGAAGTATGTCCAATCCCTACTTCTGCCTTGGCCGTAGAAAGATAGACGTTTATTTATTTTGTTTATTTAGTTATTCTATGTACCTTACTCACATTACTACGACTATTATTATTATTACTATTCTCACTCTGAATTGTTTCCGCTTGTCCCACTTGCCACTCTAAATCCAAAGTGTTATTTTTTATTTTTACAATATTGAATTCTGTCTTATCAAGCTTCACACTATGTTGTGTAACGCGTTTTATATTCGTCTACTATACACCTTATGTATTATTCTACATATGACATTAATTGTTTTGCTACTTGACATTTAACTGTGATTGTAATCACAAATAGTTTAATTACATTTCATACTATTACTATTATTATTTCATGTATTCACAGTTTTAATCTAATTCCCTCACCGGATATAATTTCTTTATAAAACCATATATATACTATTGTACAGGTTGATAATAAATTCGTTGAAAAAAGTCTGTCTCTTCGCTGAATATTGTGTCCTTTTAATGCTACAGTAATGACAATAAGCATAACAACTTTATTATGGACAAAGCGTTTACACACTGAACAGAATCTTCAGTGTATTGTATTGCATAATATTGACCCTCAGTATAGGAGCATTAAGTAAAATATTAATCGATAGCATATAACATGACGCAATACTATTCGGCGTGAAAGAAAAACAAACCACACACGATGCTTCCTTCCCGTCTCTTTCGAGAGATGAACAGCAAGGAGTGTGTTGAAAACCAATTAAAAATGCGCACGAGTACATTTTCTGACCGAGGGATCGAAAATGAATGATTAAAACAATAAAATACCGAAAAGCTTTGACGCATTATGTTGGATGGAAAAATCAGGTAACCCAGTAATTTATGCATATGCGCCAATAAGTTATCATTGATTTCCATTACAAAGTCAAACACAAGGACTCACAGGTCGTAAGCTACTGAGCTCCTAAACTAATAACCTACGCCTACCCAAATCTAGTTGTATTTTTCCTAACTTAAAACACTGTTTGGTAACAATTAATTAATAGAAACAACTCCGATTACTTCCGAATGAAATCTTATTTAAACATTGGATATATTCTCACCAACTGTTGATACGACCCAGTGGATTTGTACGTGGGGTATAATAACACTGAACGCTATAGACGACTCAACTTATATGCTAGACACACTTATTCCTCCTTAGCAGTAGCTTCCGCTTCACTGAGCCACGTGAATATCAAACGACAAAGACTGGCGCCTGAAACTGTTAGGATACGAACTTTTTGTTAGGGAGAAACACATCATATTTATACCATTTTTAATCATATCAAAATAAGGCTTAGTCAGCGGAAAATAAAATATTCTCGTTAGCTAGTTGGCCGGTCACTGGTTAAAAGTGAAAACCATGAGACAAAAAGTTGTCCAACAAAGTTAGTAATGAATACTTCTATCTACCTACCTCTGCAGCCTATCTGCCTTTGATTTGAATTTTAGTCTCTTTCTTTTAAAGTAGACTTACAAAACAATCGTAATTTCATGCATTTATTCCCCTTAATGAATTTGAATAAAGCACGAAGTACGATTTTCTCAGCATAAAGTGGTACCATCATTTACTTTGCTGCCTTCTCATCAGCTGCTTACAGGCCAAAGTCATTATTAAGAATATCTACATACACAAATAGATGGTGTAGCTATGGGCAGTCCACTTAGCTCTGTATTAGCAGATATATTCATGTCCAACCTTGAAAAATCAAAGCTGAAGCATGCAATCGACTAAACAACTTCCTACTGTCGATATGTCGATGACACATTTTTTTAGTGTGCAACAATGAAAGTCATACTTCACACTTACTTAGATTATTCAATGACGCATATAATAATGTTGAGTTTACTATGGAACATGAAAGTGATGGAAAGTTCCACTTCCTCGACATTGCTATGCAACGCCTAGAAGATGGTAGTCTTCAAAAGTCAATTTATCGAAAGCCTACTTGGAGAGGACAATACTTACATTTTAATAGTTGTTGTTCAAATAGCTTTAAACGCGGACTAGTCAGGACTTTGTACTATAGAGCGAGCAGAATATGTTCTATAGAGAAATTAGAGGGAGAATTTTCGATTCTTGAAAAGATGTTGAAGAGCAATGGTTACCCTCAAAGGTTCATCAACAAGTATGGAAGATCTGAACACTCAAATATCAAACAAATCACAATGGAGTGAAAGCCAATCTTTATTCAATTTGATTATAAAGGTGAAAACATTGCAGGAATAGTCAACAGAAGACTGAGTACGTCACTAGCCATAGCCTATCCTGAAGCTAAGCTTGTCCCCGTCTATCGAACAACTTGCTCTTTGCTGCAATCAAAAGTTGATAGATATCCTTCTTGTATTAACTCCAAATGTATATACAAATTTACATGTATCTGCGACAGCAGAAAAAAGGGCATATCTACGATTTTCTAAACATGTACCAAAAAGCTTATGTCTAGAAGGAACAAATGCTTTAAACAGTGCCATCACCAGGCATCTCCTCGACACGGGTCGTGAGGTAGACGTCGCAAGATCGTTCAAGATTATCAATACGCAAAAGAGCTCAAGTTTGCTGAAGCCATCTCAATCAAGCGCCTGAAACCTGCTTTGCGCGTTTAGAAAGAAACAGTTATCAGTCTTTCTTTGCGCTGATAACTGGATATTTTTCATCTCTCTTTCATCTGAATACGTAATGCCGAAAGTTTCCATTGTGTATGACCATTATTTTTTTGATTACAGCTTGATTCCATACCGTATTTTTGGTACAGGTATGGAATTTTCAGCATGTGATATCGGTAGCCCAAATTTCACAGGCCGACCACAGATATCAGGTGTGCGTCGGCAAGGGATCGAACCCCGGACCATGTGCATGATCAGCGAGAGCCATAACCGCTGTGCCACCGACGGGATAAAGTGTTTATCATTATATATTATTACTGTATGCACATATTGATTGATTGATTGATTTTTGTTCAAAATGAACTCTGTGCAAGTATGTTAAAAACTATTTCTCTAGATGTGCTTAATAATGACTTTGGTCTGTAAGCAGATGATGAGAAGCCAACGAAATAACCGATGATGTTACCACACTTTATTCTGCAAAAACTGTGGTTCTTGCTTTACTCAAAAACAATAGTATTTAAATCCTACACTTAGTATTTCTGGTTTATACAGAGCAGAATAGGCTTAGATACACAAAGTTATGCATAAATGATACCAAGGTATATGAAACCTATAAATCTACTGGTCCCCTTTTATTATTATAAATAACCGAAAAATTTTCAAGTGTTGGTTTTGTAGGGCTTTTGTTTGATTGTATGGAAGATTTCATCATGAGCTGCGACTAGCGACTGGCCCTATTCAGACTGTGAGTGACCTGGGGTTCTAGTGAGAAGCCGTGATCAGTAGGGTACAGCATGTCGAAGATGAGGCAGGAACTCATCGAAGAAGACATTGCGAAATGGTCGCGCGATGTCGTAGGTTGGCGGAAGTTAGAATTCATGGGCTCGCCCTTAGGTCATGTCCCAGGGAGTGGCTCAATGGTCTACGAGCTCGTCTTGTAGCCAGAAGGTCCTGGGTTCCAACCCCGGTGGGTACGCACTGATGAAGAGTCCCAAATTAGGCTGACGAAACAGCTGTTCAGTACTCCCCGCTGGTTTTCCAGTGGTTCTCTAACTGATGCCAGCTTATGATGAAATCCTCCATGCAACCAAATCACAGAAAAGCCTAATCCATTGAGAAACATTTTCACAATAAATTAAAAGAGATATATGATTGCTTATTTTTGATAAATTATCTAAAGAAAAGACAAGATAGACGAGTTGTTGTCATAACTTAGGGCGGAAAAAAAGTGTAAACAGCAGGAGCAGCAATAAAAAACATTTAAACAAACCTTTTATCCGCTGTTCGATGATATGTTCGACAGGGTCGATTAACGCTAATCTGCCGATTTGAACTGTGATTAGCATTCTCATTAGTATTATTGTTTTCACAAACATCCTGTTGTAAGCGAGGATTACAGTTTGCTTGTAATTTTAATATAGGTGCATTTGATGTATCCGCATATGGATGGTGATTGGATGATGATGATAATGATGAGGATGAATTCAATTGTCCAGGGGATAAAAACTGACAATTTCCACCATTACTACTGCCCATATAAGGCGTACTAGATGAGAATTGTGGAAAAACAATCAGCTCTGAATTATTATTATTATTTATACCTGTAAGAGGTAAAGAACTATGTGGATTTGAGGTATACAACAGAGGAGATTGTTGTACGCTTTGTGGACAAGTTGACTTGATATTTTTTTCTATTTTTGAAGTTGGTGTACAATTTTCAGATCTTAAATAAAGATTGCCAAGATTTTCTTTCAACATACGAACACCATTCTCCAAAGCATCAATTCGTCTACAAATGATTTAAAAAAGAAAGGTTAGACGCTTTCAAATCAACTTGTTAATTGAAGCTTAGAACTTAGATATGATTATAGAATAGTACTCCATCTTTGTTAACGAAAAACGATCGATTTTAATAACGAAACCCTTTCCATAGTAAATAATCCAATTGATTCATTCAAATAATCACGTTCAGCCTAAAAGCAAGAGTAGTGTCATTATTATACATAGGTTCTGTTCTTTAATCCATTTGTACACCTTATTCCGAAGTGTAACCAAGTTGGACTGGTGCGTTACTCTTCAGTTTTACAAATGGATGTACCTATCATATATTGACTTCGAAATCTAAGAAAATCTATGCATACAATATTCTCTATCATTCTTGTAAATATTTTAATGACAACTAGTGACCAGCAGGGCGTGAGGACAAATACTCGCCACTGACATTGGCTGGCGATATTCATCGCCAGTTGGCAGAGGTTGGGAATTGGTCAGTCATTGGATTCCGCCCCAGTGGTTGACTGCCTTGTAAACTGAAGCTCCTGGGTTCCACGGGTGAGTACCGATGAAGAGTTCCTAACCAGAGCGAAACACTTGTTCAGCACTCCCTCATTTCTAGTGGCTCTCTAACTGAAGCTAGCTAGAGCTTAGCTAACCGGTACCGGGCTGTGAGCCACACTTACTGGGTGAGAGCTCAAGCTGAAGTTGGTGGTACAAGATTCGAACACTAAACTCATCGACTGAAAGTCGAGCGCTTAAGTCGATGTTACATGTCACTCTGCCCCCCTCACTCCACACTGATATCGATACTACTGCTGTCATCATAGAAGTTTTGAGCAAAATATAACCAGGTAAGCCGAATGATGCTTTAGGAAGGCTTCGTGTGCTTATGGAAGTGTGTAGGCGGTTGTTACTTCCAGGCTGCCCACATCGTGGAAGTTGATTAATTCTTCAGGTACCTGAAACAGAGAGAGGGCTAGTGTTGCGTGATCGCAGAACCCAGGGGACAACTGCTTGAGGCCGGTCACACACCGCGTGTATCAACTGGTTTCTGGGATCGATTCCGTACCAGTAAACCTACCGCCGGTTACGGACCATAGTAGGGTAAGTCGGGATGTAAAACTGCTGAGGTCAATCCTTTCTAACCCCCTCCCTCCAGAGTGGAGAGACAGCATAGCTGGCATGCTGGTCATCTGAGGGAAACACCTCACTACTGTTACGCCCCTGTTCCCAAGTAGTACGACTTCGCCCTCAGACCCCCAGTATAGTGTTAAAAAATTCTTACATTCTATCGGTAACTGCTTTTAGTCTAATCGCTATCCTAACAACCTTTCTGGCATGGTAAGACCTGCAGGAACATTTGTTCCAGCCCGTGTAGCTTGTTAGGTCATCGCAATGTGCAAGCCCGACCACTACGCCAAGGTATCAGTTATCGGTCGGGTAACCAGGTAAGCCGAACTCAATTCAAAGTAGTAGTTCAGTAATTAATAAATAATCATAAAACCCTACAGTTACACCACAAAAATCATCTCTTTATTAAGGTTCAAACAAAAAAACTAAAAACTTTATAACCTAATTTGATCACAAAAAGGACTATGTAATCAATAAATCAAACGTTACCATGGTGAAGAGAAACACCAGCAGCAAGAAAAAATAGACAGACAGAAAACAGTTGTACTTAGAAAAACAATTGAAGGTAATTTCCATCTTTACTAATTGTTTTGCATTTTTCGAAAATGAAGGAAATAAAAGACGAAGTCAATAATTGACACTGCTTTTAGTCGAAAACAAAAATTGTGTTTACACTTACTGTTTAGTAGTCTGACTATAAGAATCTGTTTGAGAATATGAAGTTGGCGAATTTCTTTTCGGCATATCTTGCTGCCCATCAGTAGGATTCAACTGATTGTGATAACCTTTTTGGTGTTCAGTGGCATTCGATTTTCTTCTTCTCCTCGGTTGAACTGGTTGAGGAGGACACAAGGCGAAACCACTATCCGAATGTTCATGCTTTTGGCTACTATAAGAATTGTCTGTTTGTGAATTATTATGATGATTGATAGGTGTCGATTGATTGGTAGATGTTTTATGAAGTGATAATGCTTGACGAGGATGAGGATGTTGGTGATAATGAGGGCTGTCATAACCATTCAGCTGTTTAGGTAGCCGTTTCATACCATCAGAACTTTCTGGTGGTGTAGACAAGCCACTATCTTGATTTGATGAAGATGAATCCTGTGAAGTGACAGACTGTGAATGAATAGTACTCTACATATCAAAACAAGAATAAATAGGCTGATAATATCGGTTCAACTGTCAAATTATCAAGGTGTATTAGCATTAAATATTCTGTGACAAGACTATATAAATGCAAACACATCTAACAATTAGATTTTCGGTTCTCTATCATCATCATCATCATCATCATCATCATCATCATCATCATTTTCAACCGCTCAACGGCTGCCCTCGTCAAATGATTTTCCTGAATAACACACTCGGACGCCCAACTCGACGCTTTCTATTTGGATTCTACTTGACAGTCTGACATGTGATATCGCGGGAAGATCCCCTCACTGTATCCCCAATCCTACCTCCGTTTCTGTCTGCATATTTGTTGGGATAAAGGTTCTTGCTTTCCAATCATCTGGCATCTTCAGTCACATTAGGAGTAATCATTGTCATGTGTCTAGTGTCCTAAGAGTTAACGCTGACTGAATTCTAGCAGTTACATTTGGAGGAGACCCACAATCGTGGTATACTTTTAACACTAAATGTTAAATAGTTTACTGCAATCGGCTGGAATCTCTGAAGCTAAGTATCATGCTTGTTGGTACTCTCTCATCAGAGGTGCTGATCTCGAAAATTGGGGGGAGCTGATGTCCCCTCGTAGATTGGAACCCATGTCACCATATACTAAGTTTAAACACGTTACAACTGTACTATATGGCCTTACGATTGATCTACTGTAGGATTCTAAAGTTTGTAAAAAGTGATAGCCTCAAGTTATCCCCGGAAATAAAACTATCAGGAGTCTAAATTGAAGTATTTTGTTAGCAAAAATGGCGAAAATTATATGGAATTCAAAGCCTCTGTAGTACCATCGTATAAAGAAGAAAAGTCAGAAGCCTTACGTAGGAATCTCAAGGACGCTGGAATTAGGCTTAAGGACCCAATAGATTCAATTAAGAAAAATAATATAATTTACCAAATACCATGCAATTAATCACTGTCAGGTCAATAACATACGTCAAACTAGTAAATCAAGGTCAACTAGGTTATTGGAACATAAAAATTTAGTTAGACCTAGAATGATGATTGACCCTACTCAGTTAAATAACCTAGAAGAAAGCTCAGTCATTGCACTGCATTCACTTGCATATAATCATAGAACAGGGTGAGTGGGACAGGATGAGAGTATTAAAAAGTAACATAGTTAGGTTGAGGGAGAGAGAGGGGTCAATTACTGAAGCTTTGTTTATCGACTCAACACCGCACACATGCAATCGGGATGACGCAACGCCTACGTCGGAGATATGAAAAGTGGCAACAGACAGCAAGGGTAAGTTGGATAAACAGAATAGAGAGAAAAATATACATAAGACAAATTGTGAAACCGTATGACTAAAATTGATATAATCATGAGTAATAATTTATGCATGGAGGATTTAATCATGAGCTGACATCAGTTAGAGAACCACTGGAAAACCAGCGGGGAGTACTGGATAGATGTTTCGTCCTAGTTTGGGACTCTTCAGCAGTACGCACCCACACCAACTGGGTTCGAACCCAGGACCTTCTGGTTACAAGGCGAGCTTGTAGACCATTGAGCCACTGGGACCCGATCCAATGGTCCTTGAATTCTAACTTCTGCCAGTTCACGACATAGCGCGACCACTTCGCAATGTCTTCTTCGATGAGTTACTGCCTCATCTTCAACCTGCTGTACCCTACTGGTCACGGCTTCCCACTAGAATAATAATGATAATAATTTATGCTCAAAATTTCATCCGGTTGTTTAAATACTGCATCATCGCTGTGTGATATTTAAAAATGGACTTATCTAATATGGAATTACATTCTACCACCACAATGCCAAAGTTCTACACTTACATTAATAAAAATTACTCATCCAATTTCAATTATTTTAGTTTTTCCCCCCTCCCCCACGCACGCACCCTCTGTTACATATCTACTCCCTACGACGCTGATCTTAATTTTTTCAACTTTTAGTTGAGTCATAAGAAAAGGCACACACAGCGAAGAAAATTTTCCCCTTTTCGACGATTCATTTTCATGAGCTGTACAATCGTAATTATAATTAAACACATAAGTTTTTGACCAATCAGATACTGGTAAACTTTTTCCTTGAAAATTCTACTACATAATGTGAGGTGTAAGAAGGGATGACTAATTGTCGTAAGTTAGAAAGGAGACAGAAGTTGGCATGACCTAGTAAGGGTGAGATAATGACTAATCAATAAGCTAGTGTAGAATGGACAGGAACTAGTGGAAAGGCTATAAAGTAGTTTTGTATAAGATCTGTGTGAAAAAGCAATGTTATTAATAAACAGTCATAGAGTAGTAATAAAATGTGGATGGTGGGAATAGTAATAATAATAAGAGTATTAAGAACAATAATAATAATAATAATAATAATAATAATAATAATAATAGTGAACTTACATATTAAAAGAGAGGAGAAAAATTATGGTAAGAAATTTACTCTGGCCATGGTAGGGCTAGAGAATGTATGTATCGTTTTTGTATGCATAGGTCCGGTTTTATGTCACGAATAGCTAATGCCTCAGCTATGTACATATGTCGTATCCGGGGTCCTTTTGTACGATATTGAGGGACTCTGTGTACCACTGTGAAGCATTCGTGTGGGGGTGCTCGATGTCCGGAGATAACAAGGTGTTCGAGGATTGAGCTATTGCTATTCTTCTTTTCTCCTCTGGCTAACCAAGCTGGGCAGTGTTCCAGGATACGTTTGTGGACTTGACGTTGCGTACGGCCGATATACTTTGCTCCAAACGAGCAAGTGAATTGATAAATACACATTGAAGTGGCCAAAGGCGGTATCTTGTCCTTAACGTTAGACTGGATTAACTGTCTAAGTTGAGTTCTACTCAGTTACGTCATGCAATTCCCTTATTTAACCTTATTTCAATTTCTACCCAACTAACGCTTTTTGTATTATGTAACTGTCATCTAAATTAGACATTAATTGTCTTAATATGTCATGCACTGCTATTATTATTTAATCAGAAAAGAAAGAAAATAAACACTCACTTTTTTAATATTTTGTGATCCACCTTTTCTTGCATAGGATGCTAATGAAACTGAGGACAATTTAGTCGTACTATTATTATCTTTGTGTAGGTTGGTCTCTTCATGGGATGATAAAGAATTCGATTCAGAATTAGGGGGAGCTGCATTTTAAAAAAAAAGAGGTAAAGGAGTGAGTTAGACAAGAATCGAACCTCAGACCAGTTTTTTTGGTTTGTCATTGTCCCTACTACTGAACAAACCACAGATGCATTAATGTGAAGACTATGGTTATTTCAAATTATGAACAAGGTGGTTAGGTAGAAGATTGGTAAAGTCACTCAGGAGTTCCATACTGTCACACCTGGTAGATACGGAGCACCAAAAATGATAAACACATTCAGCTTTTACAATTTTATAAAAGGTACCAACTCAATACCCTAAGTTTGTACACCTTCGATTGTTACTTAATAATAATAATAATTTCGCTTTTATTCCAGAAACAGTACTAGTGGTACATTGTGGAATTTTCAGCACATATCTACAATATTGCATCTAATTTCATCGTACATTTAAAAGGGGTATTACGAAAAAAAATAAATATAAAAAACAACAAAACCAAAAAGAAACACAAAAATAACAAAAAATGCAAATAAAAATACCAAGTAGAAAGGAAGATAGACACCAATAATGAATAATATTTCAGTATTTGGTAGTGGGAGTTATGATATATGTATGTGTGGAGAACAGTAACAGCTATAATCATACAAGAAGTTATGAAATGTTCTTAAGAATGTTTATAGCCAAGACGATCAGTTAATGGCTGAGGCAGTTGCCGTAAAAAATGCCAATCTAATCTCTGTATTCGGAAAACGTTTGTTCAATCCACCCCCCATCCTTCCGACGGCCTTTAAATTCAACCTATGGAAGTTATATCTTCCAGTGACACCAGACAACTATAAATATTATTTTTATTTGTACTGCTAACTTTATTATCAGTATCATAACTGTACTATAGTTGCACATTTTAATCTTCATTTCAAAGTTTATCGTTATTATTATTATTATCCTACTAACATTCTATTTGATTGTATTTGATTCGATTGTTTCTATTCAACCGGTGGTTGGCGACTGGAATAACGCGCATTTCGTCGCATCTGGGACTCGTCATCTGGATGTACTTATGTTCCGCAGTGAGTGATGATGTTCCCACCGAGGCTCGAATCCAGTGTTCATAGTTTCAAACGCCAAAGTGTTATCCAGTAGACCACTTATACTACGACATGTCATCGTGAAACCACGCACTGCGGTCCAATCAATCGACTGGAAAATCTAAATTGAATTAAATAATTACTAATATCCGTTGCACAAGAGGTGGTTCTCTTGGCCCAAGTAGTCTAGTGGATAACGCTTTGGCGTTTGAAACTATGAGCACTGGGTTCGAGCCTCGATGGAAACACCATCACTGACTGCAGATGCATTCAGATGACGAGTCACAAATAGGAGGAAATTTGTGTTATCCTTGATTCCATTACTAGTCACCATTCATCAATCCACCTCAGGTTATATGCCCAGACACCGTCGAAGCATATGAACAAGGAGCCAACATGTCAACCTGAGGCCTAGAACTTCGGTCCAATCAATCGACGGGAAAATCTATAAGCTCTCTTATCAACGTCCAATCTTTTCTTTTATCTTTGCACACCAGCGGTGTCATTGTTGTTGTTGTCGTGCGATTAGGACAGATTAGCCATCGCATTAAGTTATCATTCGCACATAGTCTACTAGGTCGTAGTTCCGGTCATAATAATTGTGTAATTGCGGAGCCTGATAAAAAGTTACTGAAGATACGCATGTGCTTACATAATCATTTCCCATAATTATCCTAATGGGAATTAATAATACCTCATTCTAATTATCTTCAATACAGATTTCTAGATATGGTACAATATGGTACACTTATAGAACTGTTCAAGTTATGTACACTTGACCAGTTCTAAAGGATAAAAATGACTCTGAAGATGATGTGTAGGTTTGCATTGAAACGTCCATCGTTCGAAAAAATATCAATTTGCATGTCGCACACACACACAAAATCAAAATAAGTAAAAATTCATTTTCAAAAGAAACAACTCACAATTCTGATAATTTGAAAGTTGTTTTTGTAAGGCAATAGCACGCTCTAAATTTTCACTTAATTTTCTTGTATCACCATCTAATTGGAAAATACGCTCCAATTCTTCTGGGGATGCAATAATACTTGAACGGTTTTCAGCGGTCAACGCTAAATCATAGAGACGCTAAAATAAAATAAATAAATAAATAAGAATGCAAACAAGTCTTAGGATGGAACAACCATACATACCCTACAGATTATACATCGGAAGCTTGAGTTACAAAGCCCAAGCAGTGTATATATACGACACAAAGAAAGGTATCAATGTTTGAAAGCTTTTCAACCAATCATGCATAAACAAGTTAACTATTACATTCTTTAACACTTTTCCATATTTAATTATCAAATATATTATTTTATTATGTAGTTCCTTACAATGTTCATTAGCAAACTGACGGAAAATTTTGGTATTAATATTCAGCACCAGTGAAGTCCGCATCCTCCACGGTAAGGTAGCTTTTGCTAACAACTCTGATTAAAATAACTGTGAAATCTACATCAAACGATATTCTTAGACATAAATGTAGAGATTCAAGCAAGTTGAAAGAATTCAAAGTATGATCACATCAAGATAATACACTAACTAATGAAGTGTTTAAATATTACAACGACGACCTTAAGGTCATATTAATATACGTGTAAAACTTGGGCACTGTGGTAGTAGGTAATTCCATACTAGTTTACTTATTAGATGTATCACACAGTGAAACAGTATTATTTACTGGATGACAAGGTTTCGAACAAAATTTATTGTTCATATTCATATCAATTGTAATCACATGACTTCGAAACTTGAGTTTAATAGTTTTCTTTGTCCTCTCCTATTTGTCGTCGTAGGGGTAGTAGAATTTTCCAGATATCTGGGTGGACAGGTGTTGAATCATTACTGTTTTCAGTTGGTTCGATAAACGCAGCTTCTGTTATCAATCTCTTCCTCCCTCCACCCTGTGACATTCGATTTTAAAACTGTCATCCTATCCCACCCATCCTATTGTATGATTGTGTGTAACTGTATGTAGTTCTATAGCCGAACTATTATCTAGACTTCTTATCTTATTCGGGTCAAGGTCGTTTACAGTTCAGTGATAGAAATAATAATTTACTTAAAACACAAACTTGATACGTTATGTGGACAATGATCTGGAAGTTTGAGCGATGACATACTGTCCAGACATTGTCCAGACCGAAGTAGGTGTTTGTCTTAAGAAGCCACTCCCCGGGACCTTTAACCTAAAGTCAAATTCACAAGGCAGTGAATATGTGTCAAGAACTGAGTTCCCATAGTTTCCAGTGACAAAAACAGGATCATAAGCCATTTGATCATTTCATATTTTGTAGCCCGTGTACACATCATAGGTTTGAAAACAGGGTTTTCAGCATCCCTACGTAGAACTGCATGTCATGTTCATTAGCTCGGTTGCACATGCCAGCATTTCCAATTCACATTTGTGAGGAAAAATCCTGCCGCGTGAAGACAGAGGCTAAAAGGCGTGGCCACATGAAAGCATTTCAAAAAGCCTTACCCAACCTCGGTCGTACCACGTGGTTTTTATGGCGGCCAACAGAAAGCTATATACAACATAGCTGAAAATTGACCACTGAATTGCAAAGTATTTTCCACACTTTCACTCTTTATTTCTCTTTGCTCGTTCTCCTTATTAAAATAGCTACATAATACACGATTACACAAACAATGTATGTTCTAAGCTGAATATTTCAACCAGCCACAAAACGAATGAAGAAAACAAATAAAATAAAAACACAATTAATTTATTCCTAAAGGGTTGGAATGTACAATTCAGAAATATCTACTTTCAACGAAGACCAAATTTTCCACCCTGAAGGTAAGCGCATTAAGAGTAGCTGGTAGAGAAATATGGATGATTTTCGCCTAGTTTAAATAATCTCAACGTCCGGATTTCCACTGTAAACTTCGACTGGAATACATTGACTCCTCGCTTAAATATAGGGAGACAGTGAAGTGGTGTTGGTAAGTTGAATCAACCCAGCCAGTGCCAGCGGGTTGATCGCTGAAGAAATCTCAACACGGATACAAAAGGGTCGTTTGGTGTATGCAAACTTCCACCATCTCTGGCGCAGACGTGATATCCGGCTATCATCCAAATGGTATGTGTACTACCCAGCAGTCCGCTCCGTCCTCCTTTATGGCTGTGAGTGAGACCTGGTCATTGAGAATGTAATACATGAAAAGGCCGGCTAGCTGTCTTTGATCACAAATGCCTGCGTTCTATCTCCCGTGTGTGTTAGGTGGCATAATAAGGTGAACAATATTGGGGTTAGGTTTCGGTCGATCGCTAAGGTAAAGAGGGGAAATCAATCGACAAAGTTGTGCAGCACATGTGTTACGCATGTATGCCCAGCCATCGCCTTCCTGAATCAACGTGGAGTGTTAACTGACAAAGGATGGATCAGGTTGGAAAAGAGAAAGCAAGTGGTGGTCAAACCAAAACATGGCTTCATCAGTCAATGAAATCCACAATAGTTAGTTTAAGCCAGCCATTTAGGAAGGGGTAAACTACTGGCTTCTTGGTTAGGGTCCTCGGGATAGTAAAAACGAATGCAGGTTGGAGACAATTGGTGATATGGCTTAAAATCGTTCTCAATGGCTGGCACTGATACATTCACTCCTCTATGCGATTTATCATATCCAATAAGGCTCTATTGTTCTTCCATATTACTAATCTTTTTCCCTCATACTTCTGCTTATTATTTCTCTCTTTTCAATATCGCTTCTTTTGCTTTGTGCGCTACAAAGAAGGAGGGTGGCAACTCTAACTACTGCACATCTGTGTAGAGTTCTTAGTTGAGACCAGTCAGTCAATTAATCATTTTAAACTTCAATCATTATAATCACATCCTTAAAAATGAAAGCATTGAAATGCTAAAAGAATTAATGTTACATTTTCACATACAGAAGAAGGAAATAAAATAGTAAACTGGCGAAAAATGCGTGAACAATAGTTGAAATTTTAGTCATACCTTCATTAAATTGTACAATTGTTCAGCGCGTACTGGAGTCATAGGCATTTCTTTTATTTTGTTATAATGTTGCATTAATTCAAAGTAAACACTTTCAAGTCCCGATAATGAATCTGTTGTAAGAGCATAGAATAAAACAAAATAAACAATAATAATAAAAAAGGAGGTAAAAAAACCTAACACAAATGAATTACAGGTTGAGAGAGAGTTCCCGATGTAGAACCTTGAACAGAAGTGAGTCAGTTCAAAGTGTCAGGCTCTATATATATTTTAGCATACAATGGCATAAAAAAAGGTTACAGGGTTTCATCATAAGATGGAATCGGTTAGAGAACCATTGGAAAACCTGAGAGTACCAGAGAGCTGTTTCATCAGCCTAGTTTGGGAATCCTCATCGGTGCGCACCCTCCGGGGTTCGAATTCAGGACCTGGTTACAAGATGAGCCCGTCGACCATTAAGCCAGTGGAACCTGATCCAATTGCCGAGGAATTTCAACTTCTCGCCTGGTAGCCAGTAGGTCGTGGGTTCGATCCCTGGAGGTGGGTGCGTACTGATGACGAGTCCTAAACTGGGTTGACGAAACGGCTGTCCAATACCCCCAGGTAGTTTTCCAATGGTTCTCTAACCGATGTCAGCTCATAATGAAATCCTGGAGCCGATCAATCAAATCTCTATAAACCAATTTTTGAATGCATAAGAAAAATATTCATTCAAAAGGACTATAACAAGCAGAAATGTACACATGAGAATAGTAATATGGCGGAAAAAGGCATGAGGACTTGGTGGATATATTGGGAGATTACAAAGACTGAATACATCTTCAAATGCATACAAGTTCCACTACTACTGGGTTTAAAGTTAATGAACACAATAAGCTAGCAAAACTAAAATTCAGTGAAAATTGATTGGAATGAAGGAGAGGAGGAAGGGAGAAAGCTGAACTAATTGGATCCAGCTTTAGATTAAGAGGAAATATGAATAGAATTCCTGAATAAAAACAAAACTAAGAGGAATTAATAGTTTGTGAACAGACTAGAAAGTAAAATCTATGAGAAAAAGTGTATACGTGTGTCTGAAGAATGGTAATAAACGTTTTTTAGCCAATTCAGTGTGAATTTTTTCCCAGAAATCCCTTTTCTCATGTATCAACGACATTTAAAGCATATCTAGTCATTACACCAGAGAGTCAGCTTCGCGTTACAATGAATGATCTAATAAGGAATTCAGAAACAAAACACCTGTTGAATTCTGTTTTGAATACTTAACCGTCTTACTAAACTTTACATAGAGGATATAACCGAATATGAGAGAGAAAAAAGGTTGTCATGTTTGAGGGTGACAGCATAAGTGGCGCTAATCCAAAAAATTAAGGGAAAAAGAACACTACAGCTATCCCACTTTGAAGCACAAGATAACATATGAATGTATGATGCCTTCAAGATACCTACGTTCACAAGAAAACAATCATCCTAAAGTAATGGAGAAGATTTGTAGCTCAGGTGGATACGTTACCTTAATGATACATTTGTAATAATTAAAAGAAATTATTTGGATTATACCCACAAGTTAATTAAACGATATATTTGAAGACGTTATGTTCCATTCAGAACCCAAGGGAATAATTATTAATGTTTATGAGACACAAGCTTCGCTATTCATATAAATGCAAATCACATTGTACATTGTATTGTCACCCAACACAACTTTACGTATTTTTTCTTATCAGACATTTTAGATAACTTTATATGAATATATACATGACAGATAATGAGACAATCAAATCTATGAAAGTGTGAACAATCTAATGACCACCTGTACATATAAAGTTCACATTTCCTTTCGCAAAGCGTGAAAATTCACTCATACAGTGGTCTTAAGGAGACGTTAAGTGTTATGTACATACTGAAAGATGAAATGTTACTCAAAAACCACTTTCTATTCTATTCTGCTGGCTATTAACTTCATGTCTACTGGTGTAAGGGCTAGTGATACAACCTGGCTGTTCCAAGCCTCGGTACCTGGTAGGTAGGAAATCAAAAGTCTAGAGACCAATGAATCACAGCTTCACTGTTCATTGAGTATGAAGACTGTACTTTAAATTTCATTAGTAATGAACAGGCATGATGAAGTTAATATATGTATCAATATTTCGTAATCTATACAACGCAATAATGCTGTACTAACCTTCAGCAATTGGTGATTGTAAAGGCGATATAGAAGATAATCGACCATGATCTGAACGTGGTAATGAAGATGGAGATGACAGGACACCACTATCTGTGGTATTTTTCACAGGTTTCTGTTCACTTGATGATGTATGATCAGAAAGTTTAAAAATATTTAAATCTTTCCAACAAGAAGCAGGAAGATCAGATACTGACGCAGAGTTTGAAGATGGTCGTGGTGCTGGTTTTGGTACTGTAGTATGTGGTGCAGGTGATGAAGAAGTCGAGGATGATTGTAATGACTGCGTTTCATTGGTATTCAGTGTATAACCGATCAATTTGTCTAATTGATCAGCCATATGATTTAATTCACTTATCAGCACTTCATTAGCATCGAATTGGGGGTCTGTATTGGAAAGAAATTTTAGGAGAGCAAAATAAAAAAGGTTAATGCTTTACGAGGAATTAATGAAGCACAAATGAAAACTGATATAAACAAGTTTCTAAGAGGAAAACAGTCAACTTTTTCATAACAAACAGAGAGTTCAAAAGCCATTCTGTACATTCTATTAAAGGAAATCATAACTGATTTTGTAGATACTTATGAAATGAAATCTGCCTAAATGAAAAATAAGTAAATAGGCCAACAACTAATGAACCTCATTTGTACATTAAAATGTACAAAGCAGTGCATAATATGCACAATTTTGACTTTTTGGTGAAATTATCATTAAACTTCTTCACCCAACAGAACAATTAGAGAAATTAGTATAATTATACCATCTGGAGAAAGTAAGAACTCAAGAGACTTATTAGAACCTTTATGTTACTTGGTGGATATTTATTGAGTAGCAATAGAATTTACGATGATCATTTTATCCTACGTGGGAACTCATCATCTGTGGATGTACCCTTGCAATCCACCAGAGAGTGATGGTGTTTCCGCTAGATATCGGAGGCATATCCAGATGATGAGTCTTAAATAGGGCGAAATGGACAGTATGGATTTCACTGCTAGTCACCAAATAACAAATAACCTGGGGTTCTAGTGAAAAGTCGTGACCAGTAGGGTGCACCACAGGTCGGGTGTGAGGAAAAATACTCGCCGAAGACATTGGTTAGGGGTCGCACTATGTCGCGAATTGGTAAAAGTTAGAATTCATAGACTGACCATTGGATCGGGTCCCAGTGAGTGGCTTAATGGTATACGAGCTCGCCTTTTAAGCAGAAGGTCCTGGGTTCAAACCCTTGAGGTGTGTACTGATGAAAGGTCCCCAACTAGGACGAAACAGCTATCCAGTACTTCCAGGAAGGTTTTCCAATGGTTCTTTAACATAATGTCAGCTCATGATGAAATCCTGTAAGCGATCGATCAAATTCCTACAAACCAACACTTGAAAACTTTAATTCCCAGACGTCATCGGGGAGTTCGTGTCAGGAGCCTATATTGCCAACAGAGGCCTTACATTCAAACAATCAAGGGGTAAAACATAAATTGACTCAAAATTATTAGAACTTTGAGTGAACTTGAAAACCTATAGTCTAACACTGATAAAACATATGTCTAAAAAAGGGTACCTAGCCTGCTATATGCTCTGATGGTGTTCTCATGAAACTTTGTTGTCAGATCTGCCAATGGCGATGGAGTAGTGTAAGTGACGTAATGGTTGTGTGTCAGGTTCGAAGAGGGTTGTACGCAGTAATGTCAACGCCCCACTAAACCTCTCTAAGCTGGCAGCAAGTCTGGTTAGGAGACAATGTTAGTCATAAAGGCCATTAACACCCCCCCTACACACACCCGTAAAAAGAATCACACCAAATCATTACTTAAAATTGAACGCTGAAGCTAGTAGTCTTATGTTCCCTTTCGGAATACTAACCAGTGAAAAAAATGTTTTTTTAAACCCACCTTTACCCCAATGAATTTTAGCTGAATCATAAAAATCTCTCAACGTTCCATAATCCAATTGCAGGCTAGTTAAATCTGATTCTGGTATAAAATGATGCTGACTGGCGAACAATTCCATTGTAGACAAACGTGTCTGTAAGTCAGCAACACGTAATAATAATTCCATTTGAACAGTTTCAGGACCATAGATAATTTCATTTAAATTAGAAGAAGAATTATTGATTGCTGATGGAAGAGGCATTGTATTGAAATCAGAAGCGACACTATTTGAATTCATTTCATCTTCTTTGTGGAGTTTTTGTTGTTGCTGGTGTTGTTGTGCTTCATGATTAGGAGTGGTAGTAGCTGTGGTCATATTTGTGAGTGTATTGCCAAAAACGTCTTCTTCTTCTTCTGCTTCCCCGTCTGTAATTACTCCGTCGCCAACATACTTGTCACATGATTCTACTTTTTATTTTGGTGAAGAAAGAAAATATACGTGAATACTTTCTTATAAAGACTATTTCTGTTAAGCAAACGTGTTGAGCGCCCACGTTGACCTACATCACAGTAGCTCCCTTAGGTTGCCGTAGATTTTGAGTCCAATCTACGGTGAAGGAGCATCATTGAAAGACACTACATGTGAATACTTGGAATATATTGGTGTCCGGACATTGTATGTAAAAATTGCCAAGTAAAACTGTTTACTCTGAGTGTCTTCCATTAATGGAGCAATTGCTCCGGTTTTTATTTTAATATTTCGCCTAATATCTGGGTCTTTTATTAAATTTCAACAAAATTGTTGGTGTGCCAGACAAGTTTCGGACAGGTAACCTGGCGTGGAGCCAGCCCGCTGTGTGACTAACTAGACGTCGTTCTGGGTGGTTTTGGGAATTCTAGTTGTACCTATGGACATATCCAGTAGTCTGATGCTGTATAATTAGTGTATTCACCAGTTTCAGAGTTATATTTATAATACGCCCCAGACTTAGGTTCATAGAATAACTGATTTTCTGGATCATAATAGTAACCGCTTTTGTGATCATAATACAAACCAGTACGCTCGTCAAATGTATACCCCGTACTGCGTACAACTGCGTCAGATGTCTCTTTGAGCATACTAGCTATGGTAGTGCCATAAGCTTTTGGCTCCGATGTACTAAGACCATCAGGAACAGTTGCTTTGACAGTGTCTTCATTTGTGCTATTTTGAAGACCACCTGACAGCAGACGACGTTCCAAATCTGTATTTTTATCCATCAAGTTCTGTATAAATGCATCTTTTTCCTCCAGCTCCTTTTTCAAAATATGGATCTCCGTTTCGAGTTCACTTAGTTTTTCGAAGACATCAAATCCCATCTTCTATATCTTAAAGCAGTTAGTTTCTGACTACACTGCGTAAATTGTAATCGAAAGGGAACCAACAACCAGACTGTCAGATGGCGATGCCAACCGCCGATGCACTTTTCCTTGCCCCTGAAACAGTTCCCCAGGCAAAATATGACCCTTACTTCAGACGGAATCCAAGGATTATTGAGGATCTACTAGTTGATGAAGAACGTTATCGCACAACTCCAGGGTATTGTATTGCTCAACGTCGTGAAAGGAAAATATGGATGCGACGCTGTCTTTTCAACTGGTTTAGAGATATCTGTATAGATCGTGCAACAGATGGTGAGGTTTTAGCCCATGCTACGCAACTAATCGACCGTTATATGCACATTTTTCCTACTGACCGAAGTGAATATCAGCTGGTGGGTGCTACTTGTTTTCTTATTGCCAGTAAGCTGAAGGAGAGCATACCCATTAGTGTGAGGAAGATGTCAGAGTCACCTAGTATGATGGCCACATCGCAAACTTAACTGGAAGATACACATTGGGTCATAGGAGTAAATAAGAAGACAGTTGCAGCGTGCATATACCAGTTTACTTGCTCTTGTGGAGCTGAGTACGTTGGCCGTACCATGCGCCGACTTGAAAAACGCGCTCGTGAACACTACCCAGCCTGGCTAGTAAAAGGAGAACGAAAACGGGTAAATAGTTCGGTGACAGAACATCTGGTGAATTCAGGACATTCAGCGCCACCCGAAAAATCCTTCAAAATCATTTACAAGATTCGATCAAACCTATCAAAGGGAGTAAAATCAAGACATCTGGGCATAGCCGAGGCGCTAGCTATACAAAAGCTCAAACCAACCCTTTGTATACAAAAGAAATACGTCCAACCCCTGTCCTTGCCATGGCCATCATAAACAGGTAATTTTTAGTAATCACCATTCCATCTCCTTTCTTATCTAAACTTCCTGTTTATTCATGTTATTTCAAGTTTTTCTTAATCCCTGTTTACACTACTATATTTTCATACCCGAACTTAGTGTTTATTTTGTCATTTTACTATTTCTACATATTTAATCCCTGATTGCATAAACAATTATTCATCACATTAGTTTTTTATCCAAACATCCTGTCTATTTTGTTATTTCTACATTTCTAACCCCTAATTGCACAATGTCAGTCTTCTTAGTTATTTTAATGCTATTTTGTTTGTTTTATCCATCCCCCTGTTTATTATGGCATTCTAATTCCCAATTTTAATTTTTATTAATTTGACCCTTGACCGGATAATATTCTGGAACTTTCCCATCCATTTGATATAAATACACGAATGTACAGCCTAGATGATGACTTCGTCGAAAAGAAAATTTTCTTCGCTGCAACTGTCTTCTTATTAACTGGAAGAAGAATTCCGTCTACACCGAAGTTAGGATTAGACACATTACACCAGTTACTGATTACTGCCGAATCAAAAACAATATATCCAATACAGTCATACAACAAGAGGTCGGTAATCAGCCCGAATAGCTCAGTGGTAACATCAAACAAAGTATAATTATATTTCAATAGTTTACACACAATGATAAGTTTTGTTATTGGTAATATTTCGAGCAGTGATAATATCTTTGACTGCAGTACTCACTATATGACATGGGTTTGAGTCCTAGAAGGGACATGAATTTCTTCAAGGTAGCAGATAGGCCTTGCCAACTGACTGCTGAGTACCAACTACCACGAAACCTAGGTTCAATCAGGGCCTCTTGTCGATTGCTTACAACCAACAATTCACAGTGCACCGTGATGGTAAGCCAACTAGCATGATGACCACTTTGCAAACTTGACTGACAGAATTCATTTTGCATCAAAAATAGGACTAGACACTCACACACACATATTACACTAGTTAGTGACTAGTGTCCAGCCAAAAGATGATTTCCACTTGTATGTAGAAACATCTAATACCTTTGAATTAAATGCGGTGGTACTAACTGTGTGTGTTTATATTAAAGCAAGTATCATTATAAAATTCAGGAATCAAAACAGCACGTCAATCAAACAACTGTAAAGATCACAGGGGAACTGATTCGTTTCATCTAAAACACATTGAAATTCCTACTATTGGACAAGTGTAGATTACAATCCACTCTTTTATTTTGTAAGTGTCTAAACCTACTTACTTACTTCAAAAGTCTCATTAAGAAGAGCGACTGTTAGTGTTATGTACACACAACAAAAAAGTGTTCCGTGAAGGATAAAACATAAACAATCAGCTACACTGTATAAACAAACAAATCTATATACACTTCTACTTAAATGTTATTTTATTCCTTCATGTTCCCAGTGGAACAGAGGGAGGCAACCAAGCTTCTTGGGCTTTGAAGTGTCGGTAGCAGTGGTGTTTTTGTTTCTACGGGATAAGGTTGCTAGCCTCAAGCCCAACCTTCCCCTCGTTTACCAGTCTTATTACTGGCTTAGCGAGGTAAGGGAGGAGTTTCTCGGCAGGGGATCGAACCCCAAACCACCTGTGTGGTTAATGAGCATTCTGCCAATGTGCCACCGCCAACACTCTGCCTAAATGCATTTACTTGTTATTGATACATAAATAGGAAGGCTGAAATTTTCACATACAAACAAAAAGAGAAAATAATAATACTACCAACAGTAATAATTTGCTTCATTCCACAAAAACAGTACTTCTGATACAGTTGACTATAACAATTTGTTTAGTCTTAAAAACAACAAATAGGAGAAGGTCAAAGAGCCAATTATTTTGCCTAATTACATAATAAGTTGCACATTTTACGCTGAACACTTTCCTTATCATATATACAAGCACTATTCAAGAGGGCCAACCAGGACTCGTTGTAGCACTCCCACCTTAAGGAAAATTGAAGAAAGATATTTCATGGACGTCTTCCAAAAGAATGGATATCCACGGAACTTCACCAAGAGAAATATACCCCCAAACCGACCTATCAAACCAAAGGCCCCCAAGGAAATAAGGCACAAAGAAAATTGCCCTACCATATATATAGCATACCTCAGAAATCACTGCAGGACTTTTCAAACCTTTAGGAATTGACGTCGCACACAAACCAACAAAATCACTTCACTCAGTTCCATGTCAATCAAAAGACTCAACAATGAAAGAAGATAAAACCAACACCATCTACAAAATAAATTGTAACAACTAGGAAAAACACTACATTGGCCAAAGTGGATGTCCCCTTCGTCTTCGTATCCATGATCATAAGCTAGCCGTTAAAAGACATAATATCCACTTCCTCATATCACTACATACACACAACCACGGACATCAATTCTACTGGCGCAACCAGCGTTCAAATATTAGACAAAGGAAAAAACAAGAATGCTAGAGAATTTTTAGAAGCCTGCCTGGTATTCCAGTGAATCATCAATCAATAGACACATCGAGACAAACAAAATTTACCAACCGATAAGAAAGAAACCTCACATACAAAGGGACAAAGTTCAAGTCAAAGAAACAATCTGTTTTAATACAAGTAGCCTAGAAGGTGTAAAAACACACAAAAACAACCAATCACGAGGTTCCTGGTGGTTACCAGGAGGGATGATTAATAAACTCGTGAAGAAATCTAAAAGTTCACTTCAAATTGAAGTATGCCCTGAAGATGTCGTCTTGTGGGGTGATGAAAGCTTCGCAAATTAACTATCTAGCTCGGAGAACACAACCACATCAAAACCTTTAATACCCTTCACAATATGACACAGTCCTTTTTGAGTAGCCTAAGAAAGACTAAGGAAGCCGGGGAGGGGAGGCGATAAATAGCAATATGATGACTGACTAAGCTTTGCAATTCTGTGCCAATCTATGTCGCAGCAATCAAGAGAAAATTATTCCATAAAAACTTTTTCCAGTTGCAATCATCTGATAAAAAAGTTATGCCTGGCAAACAAAACTTATATTTTAATCAACTTAATGAATTATTATTACCATTATTCAGTTTCTTAAATCATAAATATTACAGCTGGGGCATACGGTTATATTATGTCAGGCTGAAAGTTACCCCCCTCCCTATGGTGTCCCCAGTTCCTTTTAATTCGATCGTAGGTGTACTTGTGAGTGCGACCCTAATCAACCTCCAGTGAGTTGGGAAATGACTTGATAACAGAAGACAATCTACTGAATTCCGAGTATGTAGATGCTATCGTACTCCAAAGTGCAAAGTCTTCTAAACACCTTGAGCAGAAATTTTAGTATGTTTGGGATGAGATTCACCACTGTCAAAGGTACTGAAGGGCTAATGAGAGGAAGATTGGCGGTCGGGTGTAGTGACCCCTTCGTTTATTTGAGAGATTTTATCAGCCCTAATAGACTGATTGCTGACAAAATAGCAGCGGGAATATAAAACCCTCGTGGTTCATTCGCTCACTAAAGTCATTTCTCGCAAAAACACGATATCCGGCTACCAATCAAAGGATGTAGGCACCGAGAAGCAGTTCGCTCTGGTCTTCTTTATGGCTGCTGAAGGTTGCAGGTATGAAGAGACCAGTTGTCTTTGACCACAGATGTTTGCGTTCTAGAATATAATATGGTGGGTAATATATTGAGCTTAGGCGTAGAATATTAGGTAAGGAGGGAAAGTCAAGCAATCGAGTTGTGAAGCTACATTGAATAAGATGGCTAAAACACATGCTAAGCTATCACTCTCCTCGTAGAACAATGTTAGCTGACATAGGATTAGGTTGGAAAAGAGTCAGCTGTGGTCAGATCAAGACTTTGGAGGTCTTTCACTGTTGACTGGAACCACGTAGGATAGGGGTGGACTGCCTGGCTCTGGTTTTCAATATGTTAACAATAAAGGGCTGAAGACTGTTAGTCAAATAACTGAAAATCGTTCTGAATTGCACAGATGCATTTGCTCTTTATGAACTCCGAAATTCATAAGGTTCTTATCATTCTCCATGTAACCATTCCTCGAGCCATACGTTTTCGTTGCTTTATGAAATGTAGTAACTTGAAGTATAGAACTTTAGTGTAAACTCAGTCAATCAGTCATGGATTCAAACGCTGGACTAATTTGGCTGGAAGATGAGTGCTTAACCCAATGGCCCAGCGGATGACTGCTATATTGACGTGGTGGCTGGACTTGCATACCGCAGCAACCCAACAAGTTATACTGACTACAACTAATATTCTTTCAGGTCCTCCCAGGCCAAAAAGATAGTTTGGATAGCAGTTAGACTAAATGCAGTGTGTGCATGGGCTCCAGAATCTGAACGGATCGAATCGTGTATGAACCTGCACGGATCACCGAAAACTCTAAAAACGTAGTTCCTGACGTTATTCTGCTGCCTTGTGGATACTTCATGTCAGACGCTCTAGGTTTGGTCCCTTCAACAACCACTTGCTTCGGTCTGGGCACCGGGGCAGTATCCCAACCGTCGCACTAACAATAAAACAACTCTTTCGGACGGCGAACACAAACAGTGAATATGAGCAAAACAGTCATAACTTAGCGGTTGAACGGTGACTGCCTGAACCACAAAATTTACCGCGGACAATGAATTATGTAAATGAAGTGCATGAAAGTATTTAATGCAACGGATACACTCAACAGTAAAAAAAACCATGACAACCAGTAGCGATAAACACAGACGACACAGTGAACTTACGTTCTGCGGGTACACAACCATTAGGCGACTGTATTGAATTGGCTTGATGGTGTTGTTGCATATTGTAAAACGAAGCTGTAGTTGTATTTCGCCTGTGGTTGTTAACATTTTTCATTGGATCATTATCACCACGATGATTAGTTGTGGGTGGTGATGGTGATGGTGAAGGTTCAGAGATTTTTCTTTGATGGCTTTGCTGTCGCTCAGTAGGTATTTTCTGTACGCTTCCACCAGGTCTAAGATAGTATGGAAAGGAAAGAAATATTATACAGTAAGGTAAGAAGAAATCTCAGGTGATTTTCAAAAGTGAATTTTACAATGAATACCAACTCATTGAAGTTAGATAAGCATTCATCTCTAAGCGAAGCTATTTGATATCTTACAAATAGTAAGACTACATTCAAACATGTATTGTTTTCAATACATCGCTAAATTTACAGTGTATGAGATGATAAAAAGTGCAGTGCAAGTTAAACATTTATATCATCAAAACTATACAATGAATCAGAATTTAGTTACACAGGTCTATTCAACCTAGGCTCTGGCTTACAAGTAGACATATTTTTCATGCTAGATGGTTGGAGTCGACCGGTCACAGGAAGCCTTCGTCTTAGGCTTCGTGGTAGTTGGCACTCACCAGTCAGTCAGCCTGAAGTATCTGCAACCGCGAAGGAACTCATGTCCCTTCTGAGATTCGAACCCGCGTCGCCCAGTGAGTACTGCAGTCAGAGACGTTACCACTGAGCTATTCCGGCTTGCGACTGACCCCCTGTAGGACTGTTTCGGATACTTTGATTGGACACTAGTCAGTAACTAGTGTGATGTGTAGTCCCTTGTCTGGTGCAGACTGAATTCTATGAGACAAGTTTGCAATGCAGCCACCCTTCTAAGTTGTTAGCCAACAAGGTGCACTTTGAATTGTTGATGTTAGATGGCTGGAGGCAATTAAATCTCAAAAGGGACAAGAATTTCTTCAAGGTAGCAGATACGCCTTGCTAACTGACTGCTGGGTGCCAACTAGCACGAAACCTGCGTTCAACCAGGGCTTCCTGTGGCCGATTGACTCCAACTATCGAATATGAACAATTCAAAGTGCACTGTGATGGCTAGCTACCTAGAATGGTGACCACATTGCAAACCTGACTGACAGAATTCAGTCTGTACCAAACAAAGGACTGAACACATCACACCAGTTACTAGTGTCCAATGCAAGTATAGTAGACATACTCTTAATCGCAAGTAATAGACATTTCATTGCCTATATACAGACAAGCGAGGTGTGGTATAACCAGATAGGACGGTTACGCATCACCAAAAAATAAAGGTGAAAAATAGTGCTATATGTTGCATTAAGTCTCTAGGAGAACAAAATCTCGATGCAGTAAACAGATCATTCAGGCACCTGAGTCTCAGTCATTTAATGACAGGAATGCGTACCATCCTATCAACCCGAATTCGGGTGGGTAGCTAGGAAACTTCAATACAGAAAATCATGTAAATTTCAACTGGTAGCATCACACACGGTTGGACTAAGAAATGTGCAACAATTTGGTAGAATCCTGTTAATTCTTAACTAAACGCAACTACCGACCACCATCAACTGAATCTAAAGTTTTCCATCCATCCCACAAAAGATTCAAACCCCAATTAGTCACTACGTGCTGAAGACATAAACGTCACACTACACCATTGAGATGATTGGACTAAACAACTGATTCCCCAAGATGACGAATCCATCGCACAGCTTCCTGGAGATTGCCTTCAATCCATCTGACGTCAAAAGTAATCTCCCTATACACATTGAGACATGAATCACACAACTACACAAATGCATTACAATCCAATAATACACTAATAAATGCGCAGGAAATGAATAGCTTAAATGAACTCACTTGGCATGATCTTGTCCATAAGAAGTCGACTTCTCCATATTTTTCATCATTAAATCCACCTTGGATATATCATTATTACGTTGAACAAATTGACTAGAATTATTGCTTACACTGCCTAAACCAGTTTCCCAACTTTCAGAGGCTGTGGATAAAACTCTTGCATCATGAGCTGATGAATTTCTCCTCAGTTTATTTCTTTGTTGTTCTAGCAGTGGTGTTGAAGAATAATGGACAGTAATATCGTTTGTATTATTTCTGTTTTGGTAACAATTCTTTGGACACTGTAGTAAACAATCTTCATTTGATATCAGTCTTTGATTGTTATTAATGCTACTATTATTATTGTAATGTAATGTTTGCATACTATGCGATCTTGGTTTAGTTGATTTCTTCTGAAGTGTATCATCTATCGAGTCAACATCGATGCCAACACGCATACCCATACGTAGCTGATCGATAGTGACTTCTGCTAAGGCATGCTTTGTCAATAGATTATCATAATACATTTGTAATTGTTTTATGTAGTCATCTTGTTGTTTTCTAATAATCATTGCCTGAAAGAAGAAAAAGAAGCGGGAGTGAAAGCAAATTTCCATTTCTATTCTATTTGAATAACAAATAAATTTAGGTCGGAATAAAATATTTGGTAATACATCACGATTGTGATTCTGTTCACTTCCTCAGTGCAAACCAATCAAAAAATGCTTTTAAGGTTGATTTCAGGGAAACATCGAAAAACCAAGAATTACTGGACAGTTGTTCCCTCCTAGTTTGAGATTCATCGCGACAGTGCATATATCAACGACCCTTTCCCCCACCCACCCCACCGATTAGTCATCCAACCATCAGGTTGGAATCCGATAACTCGTAAATTCTAACTTTGGTCAGTTCGTGGCATACCGCGATAGCTATTTAATATTACCAGAGGGTATCTGTCCACATACACACACACACACACACGACATACTTGATCTCAGTGGTCAGGAATTCCACCATAATGAGCAAATACCTCAAAACCAGACGTCGCTAGTTTAATAACAGAATGATAGGTAGCCATGCAAGTGGTCTGAGTTCCACCCAAAGCTGACGCACTCCTAAACCTCGCCTCACCTACTAGCCAACAGTAAGTCTATAAGAGGATGAAGGCTGGGCATGGGACCAGCAATCCCATCTCGGAAAAAATAAAATCAACACCGCTAATGAAACTTTGAAGCTCAAAGGTTGGTGTGTAAATAAATAAGAGAGAGCGAGAAAAAACCCTTGAAACCGATCAGATCCCCGCAATTACGCTCATTGTAGCAATACCTAATCACTATATGAGAAAGGAGAGAAAAACGCCCCTAAAATTCAATAAAAATTTCAATTGTTTTCTTTTATTTATAACATAGTTTAAAAGAAAACTTTTTTATTCTAACTAGTAAAATAAATCTTTTAGACCATTCACAGACACTATTGGGGACCAAATCAATGGCCAGCTCATGAATTCTAACTTCTACCACCAGGCAATGTCTTCGGAAAGTATTTGTTCTCATGTCCAACCTGATCAACCCCAACAGTGACGATTTTTCAACAGAACTCCAGGCAACTCTGTTATGTAACCAATTATTAAGAAGCGTCAGGTTAACTCGGAACAAATCTAATCCTCGCAAATCAACTCTTGAAAAGTAATCTGAGGTTCGCTAGCGACTGACTACAGGAAAAAGTTACTAGAATTTCTAGTGAAAAGCCATGACCAGTGAGGTCCACCCCATGAGGAGTAAGCACAAATACCCACCGTTGACATTGACTGGTGCAAATCGCTCTAAAATCATGCAGTGGTAGAAGTTAACATTTCTGGGTCACTGAACCGGCTCCCAGTGGCTGAATTGTCCATAAACTCGCTTTGTAACTGGAAGATCATGGAGTTGGAAACCCGGTAAGTTCGTACTACCTATAAGTCCCAAACTCGGACCAAACAGCTGTCCATTACTGCCTAGTTTCCAGAGGTTCTCTAACTGATATCAACCCATAGTCACACTTGAATTAGATTAAATCCCTACAAACTAACTCTTCAAAATATTTGAAGCAAAACAACGAAAGAATATAATGACTTAAAAATTCTACTTTGTTGACTGAATTACTTATTACAGACCATTTAAACAGTCAGTAGATAATGTATCGGACTAGCAAACAATTCAAGGGCTGTATGTTTCTTTCAGGTGAACATAGAGAAAACAGAGGTGATGAAGATTCCTAGCCAACAGCAACAACAACAGACAACAATCAGCCAGCATAAATGGGAGGAACCTGAAGCATCGTTTCAACGACAGGCGGGACTGATGGAAAAAGCAAGACAAGCTTTCATTACTCTTAAGTCTATGTGGAAGTCAACAGCACTCAGCATGAAAATGAAAATAAGATCCGGATTTTAAACTCCAATGTGAAGTCAGTCAATGCTATTATACGGATCAGAGACTTGGCCAGTGCATCATAAAGAGCACTTCAAACAAACTTCAGACCTTCATCAACACCTGTCTTCGCTCAGTACTCAAGATCAGATGGCCGGCCGGAAAAGATTAGCAACAGGGATCTCTGGGAGCGAACCAACCGGGAACCGATTGTGCAACAAATAAGCAGGAAGAAATGGAGGTGGATTGGCCATACTCTGAGGAAACCATCAAGTGATATCACTAGACAAACTCTCGAGTGGAACCCGGAAGGGAAGCGGCGAGTTGGTCGTCAATGCGAAGGTGACTTGGAGGAGGTCAAGTGAAGAGGAGATGAAAGCATGTGAGCAGACTTGGAACGGCGTGAAAAAGTTGGCAGAAAACCAAAGGCAATGGAGACGCGCCGCTGAAGCCCTATGTTCCTCTAGGAATTAAAGGCTATGGTAATAATATTTCTTCTATTTCGCCTTGTGTATTACATACAACTCAATAAATACTCATTTCTTCATGAAATCATACGGAAATTCACTTAAAGTGTCAAGTAAATACAAATAATTTCAACATAGACTGAATTGAAAATGAAAAAATCTCAAAAAGTCAACCCTCATAATATGTCTAATTCAATCTAATGTAAAGGAATGGAATGTAACCAAGAAGGTGACAGTATTACAAAATGTTACATAACCGAAAAAATCAATATGTATATATATACATACATATATGTAGGGAGAGAGAAAGAATGAAACTGACACTTAATATATAAACATATGACAGAGAAGGTAATGGACCTAACGCACAGTGGTGACATTCTGTGTGTGTGTGCATGTGTCTGTGCGTAGTACAAGGTGAGACATAGACTGAGTTTATCTTGTTACATAATAAGTGACAGTCTATGTTTGACTTGAATCAAGTTTTTTCTACCAATTCATGATTTCAGGGCAATTTTCACCAGCCAGTATATCAATGGTGGGTATTTTTTCCTCACTCCTGATTGGCTAGACTTTCGCCAGTAGTCAGCCATTAGTAAGGATCAGGTTGAACATTAAGATATTAAGTAACACTAGCGAAGTGCATATCTGTCTGGATTCAACATAGAACTTGGCACCGAAGTGCAGCCCTTCGAGTTGCCACGTCCAATATAGCACACAAAGGTAGACGAGAAGATGAGTGAAGAGAATCAGTAGAGTTTGACAGGTATAAGACCGAAACAGAATGGGTAATGGTAGAAAGGAATATGAAAGATTGCAGAGACTGAATACATCTACGCCATTGACAACGATTTTGAGCCATGTCACCTATTGTCTCCAGCCATTGATTCCTAGAGTCTCGAGGGCCCCAACCCGGAGGTCTGCATCTCCCTACCTGACTCAGTTTAACTGTCAAGGATTTCATGGATTGATGAGGCCATGTTTTTGTTTGGCCACCACTTACTCTTTTCCCATCTGCACCTATATCAGCTAGTAATGCCCATCGGGGGAGGCGATGGTCGCGCATGCGCAGCACGTGACCCAGCGAAGTGCATGAGTGATCCATTGGTAGAAGGCTCACCACCAATCGTCCAGGCGATCCGGACCCGACCGACCGTTGGTACACTCCTTAACCTTACCTAGTTTACTAGCTGGCAGTAGGCTGGTGAAACGCAGGAAAGGTTAGGCGTGAAACTGGCACCCTTTAAAGAACACCACAGCTACTGAAGCATCAAGTCCTCAAGTCTGTAGCCTTATGTTCCATTTTGAATCCCAGGAATGGACAAAGGAGACTGAAGAGGAAGCACAAAGCACTTGAACTCAAGCTTCAGATCAGACAGTTTTTGTTAATCTAAACAACTGGGAAACAGTTGCATCTGAGTATCAGTTCAAGTTATATTTCGGGGAATACCTACAACTAGATGAATGTAGATTGCAAATAAACCCGCTTGGAGACAATAGTTTCTATTGCATAAAATGTCGTGCAAATAGATACCCTCATTAATATTAGATTGTGAGATTGTTTGATAGAAAACTGTAATCCATCTAGAACCTGATTACATCCACACAAACACACAGAGAGAATGAAACCTCTAGCATAATCAGAAGTGTTTCTCACTCATGTCAGATAGCATAAAAACACACATGTATAGAATACCTCGCTCCATCTCCCTCCTGCTGAGCTGAACGTGAAACTATAAATTAATCAAGGTGTAGTGTGATGAAGATATTTTGAACTATAAGCTGTTACTTATTTATTTATTTTGAAATCTTTTAAGATAAAAGTGAATAAGAATAAAACTAGTGGATTTTTAAAGCTTTTCAGAATCTTCTGTTAAGAAAATGAAGGATTTAAGGTCAACACACACATCACTTATATGTAAGTAAGTTCACCACTCAACAAAGAAAAAATCCATTCATCATCAGCCCTATGCAGATGTATATTAGGTGAAGAAAGTGAAGAAAACTGTGATAAATTATAATCAGAATATCAGAAACACTTCATTGTTATTATTATTGTGCGTTGTAAGAGTGTCGAGTGCAGTATAGAGCTTCAACAGTACGTCACCATTGTACTTTATTGTAAGTCGCCATCTGGCTTCATCAACTGCCCAGAAGCTTTCATTTCCTCTTTACACGATCTCTTCTATATCAGCTTCGGACGACCAAGTTGTCGATGAGAAGACCTTTAAGTGACATCAAACCTCAGACAGCCTCGAGTGGAAGTCGGAAAGAGAGCAACAGTATTCGGCGTCTGATGGAGAAATGTAAGAGATCACGTGAACAGGAAATGAAGGTTTGTGAGCAGGCCTGGAACCAGGTGAAAATGACGCCATATGTTCCACTCGAGACAGACGAATAATAAAAACCATAGTACAGGATTTTGTTAAAACCGTATATCTTCAGACTACTGATTTTAATTATACTTGGGTTATTGTTCAGTTTCAAGCCTTGTAGCCTGAAGGTCCGGGTTTAGATCTGTGGTGAGCTTATGGTTGTGTAGTGCCTAAGATTTATAAACGACCTCGTACAGAAGAGGGTAGGCAGACCTCATTCTTCCTCTCCAAATGCTTTCATGTAGCTACACGCTCATAGCCTCTGCTGAGTAAGTCCCATTCACTACATACATTCACACGACGGGGATATTCTTCACAAAAGTCG